TCACAAATCCCAAACCAGATTTTTTTAATGACAAATATTTTTTGTGACAAATATTTTTTGTGGTGTTTTTAAAAACCTTCAAGCTTTTACTAATGTCATACCTGACAAATGTAAATTTACACAGACAGTGCCCCTGTTGTTGAAATAAAGACTGAATTTGAATAATTGTACATTTTTCGCCGATTGAAGAAAAACTGAAGAAGATATCAAACCTGAAATCAGTTTTAATGCAGGGAAATGAATGTTTCTGGCTGCAACCAAGGGTACATGTATATCCATAGTAAGATACACGAAATGACAAAATGCCAAAGCCACAGTCTCTACACCTGGCTCGAAATGGGACAGGGGATACCCACCTCCAATCCCTATGTACTCCAGCCTATTGTAACTTAACACATCCACCAGATGTCTGAAAAGAATTCTTCAGATACTGTACCAGTGACCAACACAAAGGCGGGACAGGGTTCTCTCTGTCCCATAGTTTGCATCAAATGACAGTCACAGCCACAAGTGTGGACCTGACTCAAAGTCTCACATTAAAGCTTGCCATGTTGACACAGAGACCCATGGAATTATCCATTTCATTTATGTCACATTCAACACACACTCAGTTAATGCTTTGGAACTGTGTAAAAGTCAAGCCACCACATCAACCATTGACAATAGACTTAGCTACACCTGACTGGCTGGTGGAATTTCTCTTCCAGAAGGGCCGGCCTTGTCCTTAAGTCAGGCCACTTGGTTCTGCATGGGAGCAGGGGTAGATGTCAAACTGAGAAATGGAAATTGAAATCATTATTGGGCCTCAGTTGGTTGAGAGATGGCCAGCTGGTTAGTGAGTCAGCTGACAAGCAGAACCAGAAGGTGAGCCATGGTTTTTTTTTTCACTTAAAGGTCACTAGGTCATCCCCAAAAGTTCTAGTCTAACTGCTCACTACAGGGATGCTGCAATTGAAAACTAAAATAGCCAAAAGTACGTGTGCAGTATATCCTGCATGTACACTTCAAAGCTAGTCTTCATAAAATAAGGAAATGTAATTAACTCTACATGTACGTAGCAGCTGCAGCACCTTGCTGATTTTCCAAAGAGGAAAAATTTTTTTTTCAAAAATTACAACTGTCCTTTGCATGAGAACAAGAAAAGTATTTAAAGTGACTGTCTCAGATATTCATAAATCATACATGATACATATCTTTAAATCCATGATGTAATGCAGACATTGACAGTTTGACAACATCCCAACAAAAATCTTGTGAAAGGTTTTGATCATTTAAATGAGACTCTGTACTCAAACATGTGCATTCAATATCCACCAAATCAATCAATCATGTAAAGCTGTTTTACAGTACCGGCTAGCCTAAATAGGGAGGTGAAAATCTATTCAATGGGAAAAATAAACAACAAAAGCCAGAGGCAACAGATTTTCATTTGAAAAACAGTGAAAACACCATCTCTTCAGACTTTTTAATTTAAATAGCAAAGAAATCAGTACAAACTTTTCAATTTCAGTTGTAATTTTCTATGACGAAAACACAGTGTGAGTGTTATTAATTCCACATACATGTACATGTGACAACCTGGCATACATGTACTGTACAGACCAAGCTCAATACGGAAAAATATGAGGAAAAACAAATGATTCCACCATCCTTTTTGTAATTTGGATAGCAGACATGTATGGTGCATACACCATGCAAGTATCACAACTTTTGGTTCAACTACCAGTACCTTTCTGAGGCACAGAAAACCTACCGCTGGCATAGCAAACTAGTAATCTACCAGAAGTATACATGTACTTCTTTTTTTGGTCATCCTGTAAATTTGACAACGCAAATACCGGTATACTGCACAGTGCACAAACTCTATAAACTTCAACAAAATTTCTAAAAAATGCATATTTATTCAGTGTTGGCAAGTTACACAGTTTTTTGCCAATGGCTGTTTCACACAAAAGAGCCAAGCTTGGCATACACACACTGGAATGTAAAAGATGCAATGCATTTGAACATGTACGGTACACAGTGAAGTTAATACATGTAACGATACAGGTACCAGTATGGCCATTGAAAAAAGGATTTAAATACCCTAAAAATGAAATGTACAATGATTGTATCACAAACTTGGACACTGAGGGTCCCAAGAGGCCACAAACTAATGCTGGTAGTGAGGAACAAATACCAAGTTGATCTCCCTTGACAATCACTCAGATACAATCTTGGAAGCGGCATGTTTTACATGTTTGGAAAAGGTTGTGTGCATGTACATGCATGCAGATTACATAAAGCTTGCAATGTTAAATGTTATGTATGTGCATGTATACATGCACACATGTATGCATCCTACTTCACGTACATACTGCACCACTATGGGATGAATGTCAGAAGAGGAAACGCTCAACTAACGAAAACATTTGGACTAACCTACGAGTACAGTCACATGTACGTACATCGGGCACCGGTATATTTTAAGGCCAGGGACAGGATATCAACTCTGACAGTATTTAGGATGGCATGAATCCAAATCCAAAGATGAGCCTGAATTGTACCATCAGAAAACACAACACTTCATGTAAATTGTGCAGGGCAATCCCACCCAGAGTGACACAGCAGACAATCAAGGCATCCAAAATTCAAACAATTTCTCAAAATGTATAATTCAGCCCCCAACTTATTGCAGAGTGGAGCATCACCATCTGTGTTATTAGTATTATTATTTAGTCTGTGGTAATGACACCTAGGATTCCTCAACTGAGCACCCTACTTGTACATGTACCGGTAGGCAGAGTACATGTAGCTTGCAAGCCTGAAGAAAATGAAGATAATGAGAAGCAATCACAGTTTTAGAGGTGGGAGGAAAACCCCAGAGGAATATTCTGGGTACAACTTACAGAATCGGGTAGGAACTGAAAACCCAATCCACATGTGGACCAAGTAGGAATTGAACCCGGGCCACAGAGGTGGAAGGCAGGGGAGAAAAAACTACACCAATCTAACTCTCCCAAAGTGCAGTTAGTCTTATAACTGATCTTTTACATACATGTACATAATGGCAGAACATATACAACACCTACCAATATGGTGTTGTAGCTCTGATTCAGCAGGCAACAATATCTTGACGACGGCCTGGGCACAATCAAGTTAAAACACATGAGACCAGCTCACTGCACTGCTCTATCCTCTAGATCTTTAAAGAAGGGAATACATATGAACTTGGCTGGTCTTAAATGTGCATTTAAGACCGGCTCAGGAGAATGAACGCAACTAATGCCCGAGCCACAGGCGAGGGCATCAACAGCATTCATACTCCTGAGTAAGGTCTTAAATGTTAGTTTAAGAATGACCCAGCACATATTTATTCCCAATTATAAATACATTTTTATTCAGAGAGTCTAATGAAGTGAACATGTGATGGATTTCCGACAATTTTGTTCTTGAACTTTACTTTCATTTTCCTGACCCCATCCATTTTATGGTATATTCCTTTTGAAAGTTGTCCAATAGAATCTCCTACACTGAACATGACGTGCGCGTGGCGCGTCGTGCGCACACAGAGTCCTGACCAATCAGACCCGATTAACTATCTCGTATCCATGTGTCAGCATATGATTTACACAGCGGGCATTATCACTTCTCAGCAGGCATTATCAAATGTTAATACATGGTCACGTGACATGTTTCAACCAATAGGAATAGAAAAACTGTCAAAGGTATTATGAATGATGTAGCAAATGCAAACTGACAATACTATTTTTAAACAGTAACAATACTGGTATCCTTTTAATTTCACATTTCCAGTTTGATGTTCCTGCTATTCAACAAACATTTATTATAAATCATGGGCAAATAAGCTGCCTACTATACATACATTTGTACTTTCGGTGTCTGGCATATACTGCTAATCCGGCTCATACATACTTTTTGTGAATTTATGAATTTTCTGTGCACAATTTCCAATAGTGGAAATCATGCTACATGTAAATTGTTACCATTATTTAATATATTGAGCATCCTTTTTGTAAAAACTGTTTATTTGTTGGCAAACCTTCAGCAAATGAGGGAGCATTACCAATATGTACAGTACTAGTATCGTGATACTCAATGTACAAAATGTAAACTCAAGTACAAGTATTTGATCTTCAACAAATCCAAAGCATCCTTAAAACATTTAATGTAGGACTAGATGTATATAATATTGTGCCAATTTTTTTCTCAATCTTGTGCAGAAAGTTCCATATATTCTGCCACTGCGATTGTCAAGTTCTACAAATGAGTTTGGTGACCGGATATGGAACTCCTGCCAGAAATCTTTCTAAACTCAAAACAGCTGGCAGCAGATCTAAAACCTGGGCCGTCGCGTCCCCACGAAGACTACCTCCAGAACTGTAGGGTCTGACGTCTGTTCCGCTCCCATGAAGCGGAGCGGATGTCAGATCTCACAGCTCTGGGGATACACGAAGACCAGTGCTACTCATGCTGTGTACCCCACCCACAATGCCATACAACCAGTTAATTTAGAGGGGTGAACTGAATAATAATATCGTATCGGTTCAAGTAAAAAATCAAGTACACTGTACATCCCGATGATGGCAAAATACTTCAGAACTCAAGTAAAGTACAATACGCATAATGTTTAATACATCTGCATCACTCAGACCAAAGTATATGTTAGCTATAAAATGCAGGTATGGTGGGTAAAATTTAAAATGTGAAAAGTTCACATTCCTGGAACAGTCATGTGCCCAGAGATATCTACATGTACGCCCCTATTTAAATCTGGGGACATCTTACAAACATTAGCCTAGGCCGACCTGACTGGGTCACATGTGTACATTCCCCCCCCTCCCCACAGCGAATGTAATTGCCATGAATGCAGCACTGGCAGACATGACTCAATTGAATTACTGTACACAGGTAGGTAGGCCTACAATCAACTTCGAAAGTTGAAAATATTTAACCAAATACAGAGTGATGTGGCCCGTGGGTTTAAATTTTTCGCTTACCACTTCCTCGTCGTCCGGCGAAGTGTGCAGGTACAGGTACATGCCCACAACCCAGGCCACTGCCATCAACAGGATTAACCGAGACTTTCGTCGCATCATGTTCGAGACCGTTTATCAGGCCGCTTGTACCTCTATCTCAGCGCAACAGCAATGTGCCTTGAACTCCTCTGCTAGACTCTCTCAGGTCCGGTCCAAGCCTTGAACACACCATGTGCAGTGATCACCGATGACAACAACGGCGACGATACAACGAGTGCCACGCAAGAGGTAGTGACGGTATCCCTTCCCGTGCCAGCACAGAACGGTGCACACATCCGTGTACTTTCGTGTACGTACCCGGTCGCTCACGCTTCATTCAACGTTGAATGCACCAGCCGACCTCCTGTTCGAGTTTACAATGGGACCATGAGTGAATGGGGAAAAAAATCCATCTAGTTGGCGGCGTTCGGGTACCCTGTTTCGATCCATTGCCAGTGTTTATCTTTCATGTTGTTGAAGGAGTGGAACCCGCCACTCCAACCAATTAATGGTGAGGGCGCTATACACGCACGTGCGTGCAAGTTTCACGAAAGACGGGGGCGGGTGGAGGTGAGTGTGGGGGAGTTCGTTGCTGGCATGGACTCTTTGCACGTCAATAGTTCAACAGACCAGGGACTTGGAATGATGCATTTTGGTTGTCATTGGTTTCATTATCAAACAAAGTAACCATAACATTTGAACAAGTAACAGGGAATTCCAAATGTTGATGGGGGATTATATCTGCATGCTAACCCTGCCTCTTCTCTTTTCAAAACAGGTATTTCCTTTATTTTTAACCAGAGAAAAATCATTCCCAACTGCAGCAGCTAAATTCCCTCGTCAGCATGAACAAAGAAAAAAATTGATGTGGAATATAATCTGAGACATTAAACGGTCAACATGTGGGTTTATGCATCTGCAAATAAATGTTCCTACAAGTAAGTTAGAGGGCCGACCTGTATCTTTGAACACAATTTGCAATAAGGACAATTTATTAAACTGGATTCCAGTTATCCCGGAAGTGCACTGATTGATCAAGTTACATTCACACAGTCACAAAGAAATTGCTCATCATAATTTCAAGCAGTCGTTTGTCAGCTTTTATTCTTAAAACAATTCTACATTTATAATGTTTAATATACCAAATGTATACCTCAAAAACCAAGATGACTTCAACCAAAGAATGACCAACTCAATAATTACCCTTTTTTCAAATAACCGAAGAACGAGACTTGCAAATAATAAAAACAAATCTATATCGATAAGTTTAAGTAGGTTCCCTCCCCAATAATAAAATCCCCAACCAATTTTTTTCAACTGTGACTGTTTTAATGGGGTCAGCTCATAAGTCTGATGCCTCAAAGGTTCGACGCCCTGTAAGTCCAAAAAAATGCATTAAAAAAGTCCATAAGTCAAGCGCCTCAAAAAGTCCAATGATTCTTTATTTATTTCAGCCGATAGATCTGATGCCTCTTAAGTCTGAAAATTCAGACTTTTGAGGCATCAGCCTTATGAGGCGTGGGACTTACAATTCGCATGTTTCAATTCAGTGAAATTCCAATTTTGAATGTTAAAAATATGTCCACCATCTCACACAAACATTCTCACCAACTCAGTCAATGCTGCCGTTAGGTTTACATTCATTTGCACCCAGGAGCCAGATTTAGGCAATGTCATATTCAGCCTACCATGAAAGCAACACAAGGAGAAGACTAAGGCAGGTCACCAATAAGACCTATAAGACTGGCAAACCTCAGGCTCCACAGTAGAATTTAATGGTTAAGAATTAAATTTTAAAAGGGAATTCAAATTTAAGACATGACATAAAATAAAGAGCAGAGCTAAGGCATGTGCCATCGTTGATTCACAATTTCATACATATTTAAAAAACTGCCAGGAAATACGGCCCATCTAACAGTAATATTACACCCTTCTCAGGCTGCTCCTTTATTCCACTAGAATAGAACACCTAATGTAAACAAAATAGAATTTAATCTAAAATTCTTACCCACACCCCCCCAAAACTTCTTGAGCAGAGCTCAGATTTCAAGCTTCCACAAAGCCATCATCAGTCAATCAATGGTCTAAATGAATGACAGTCATTCCTTTCATTTTCTGTGTGTTCGTCAATCCCTGTTACCGCTCCGAGTGCACTCATCACAGACCCCCTGGGTCTGTAAAATCATATTGACATTGGATGATTGACGACTGCTAGGGTTAAAGAAAAACAAAGACTACACTGGATGTCCTTTTCCTGTCCTTGTTGAAATTTGATGTGCATACTTGCCGATCCTTTCATCACTGGCTTTCATTAATACAAATGTTCAGTTCAAAAGGTGGGAAGAGCAACCCACTGAATAAACTTCACAGATTCAGAATTCCTTCATCACAGTAATCAGTGATACCTCCTGGATTTTATGGGACAAGGGATTTTGTCAGTTGACCTAAGTGTGACATGATCGAAGATCAGTGTGACCTCACTGCTGAAATATTTATTTACAAATACACCATAGCAAAATAAATACAATGAACATTTAAAGAGCCTGGTATCTTCTGTTCAGAATCAAGGAATTCCTTAAAAACATAAACCCAGATCCACTAAAAAATATACCTCCTAGGAGAATCCAATTTTATAAAGTTCCAAAGCAGTGAATATTTCTAGGCAAATTTACCTGCCAACCACTCACAATCAAAATGACTGGTGACCATGGCTCAGTTTCATGGTTCTGCTTTACTGAAAAACAAAAAAATCTCTGCTTACTATAGCAGAGAATGTTGTGCTGACAGAAAATGCAATACCTGGTTTAACAAACCATGCACACATTCTGCTCTTAAAAATTCTAAGCCAATTTTTTCTGTCTTTGGTAGAGCCATGAAAGTTGGCCATGCTTCTAGGAAACCAGATGCTAGTGCTTAACAAATGCACACTCCCGTGTCAGTATTATGCAGTATCAAGCTGAAAGTGTTTCCTCTGTTTAGGTAAACAGGCAAGGTGGTCAAGACTTTCTGAACAAATGTGTAAATTTTGTGAAGTTATATCACCTGCAAGCCTAGCTTGAGAATGATTGTAAACAAATTTATGGATACATTAAAACAAAAAAGGGGGCGGGAAACTAAAATCCTAGCAGCAAAGCAATCAAAGAGTATTTCTCAAATAAATGTATGAGAGCAAACAACTTTTTAAAGTGCGAGTGTATTCAAACACAGTAGCCATGATTGCTTTTTGCACAAGAGGAGAACAGACTTAAATGTCCCCCAAAAATACGGTCCGTAATTATTCAAAGCATACAAAGCAAATGAATTTGTAGATGTAATGGGTACCTCACTGCTCAAACCCTCACAAATACTAGTTTCATGTCCACCGAGGCTGGCTGGCAATCCGAAAACAAACTGAGGAAGATTCAGGCAGAGGAGAGAATACTGTGAGATTACAACGGCACTGTGGACTTGAGGTATATATTAGAACCTGGTACCCAACTGTTGGTGCCAGGAACCATTTCCAACTGATTGCACCAGGTTAGAGATGGCGTGAACAGGCATAAGGCCAAACAAAAAAATAGTTGTGCTTCTGGTTACCTACCCAGCCTAGCAAATTGCGCCGACCCTAAATCTTTTTATTGAGAAAGAAATCAAACTAAAAATTCCTTGCTGACCCTCATGCTTATTTCAGGAGTGTGAAATCTCTGCTTTTTTGTTGAGTATGCAAAATTTCACTGTCCACTTTTTTGCCCATTGACTGGCCACATTTTCCTTCTTTGCATAAGAGCCGATTTTTCCGTTTGTATTTTTCTTCTTCTACCAACATGCCGCGACGGCAAGGTCAACTTTGCACGTCCTCGTTTGGACACTGAAGAGTACTGGGCTAGCTGTATAATGCATGCAACCGGGTCTACTGTACATTTTAATTGAAACAAAAATAAATAAGAATCTCCCAACCCTAAAATTTTTGACAAAAAAACTTTAGAAGAAATAAAAAAGATACTACCCACCTACCCATTTTTTTTTCAATGTGATAGGAAGCACAACTATTATTTTGTTTAACCTAATTCAGTGAAGTGGCATGGCAAATAGTATCGTAATGATATATTTAAACTATGCTTTAGCTCAACTTTCCATGTGAAATTCTGGGCAAGCATCCCCTGCAGCCTCCACCTTAAACAGTTTTGACTCATCTTATTTTGGAAACTAAATTACAACTAAGGAAACTAGTAATATACACTTGCAGTCTTTGGAGAAGTTAAAAATAAAAACAAGTCTTACTCCCTAAACAGCACTTTAGTGCTGAGCAAACCCCAGTCATGCAGATTTGCCGAAGTCCAAAACTATTATTTTTTCATCAAATAGACCAAATGTGGAAGCTGAGCACGTAGTCTTGAAGCAAGAACATTGACTGAACCAAGCTGTGAACTTAAGACCTCCAGAATACAGTTCTGATGTTTCTACCAAATTATAGGGGTCAGAAGTTAGTCTTAATCAATTGTCTTGGTTTGGCCATATCTGGCATCTAGAGCAAGACCTACATGTTGGTCTTCACTGGTTGCAAGTACATGTGCAAACACATGCTGTCACGTCATGGCTCCTGAAGCCTGTTATAGACTTGGCCTTGGGCTGAACTTGTTTCACAATATATCAAAGCTTTTTCCTTTTTTAGTGATGGTGACCTAATGACAATATCAAGGGCGCTAAGCAGCCACTGACCACGGCTAGGAGCTCTAACCGACTGAACCCTGACGTCACATCTGCACTGCCCTCTACGTCTGAGGGCACATGGCGAATTCCTGCGATTTCTGGAAGAACGTGGACGGTGGCTACGTACAGGAATGTTCCGGCAGAGAAGAGCATGGAAATGCCAGTAGCATTGAATGTGGACAGTGCTTCTTTGCTAGCCTGATTTAGAAAGATTGGAAAATATGATTATGGTCTCTGTGCAAGTTCACCGTCAAGATTCTTTCTACTGCTTTTTGATACAGACTATTACACCTTTAGAGCAGAATTTTTGTTGATTAAAAAATGCAATTTAAAGCAAGACTGGTTTCAAACATCTGAAACTTCCACAAGCTGAGCACTTGCAAAAAAAGCTTTCGTTTTCAACTTCAAAAAGTAACTGTTTTTGCTTTAAATGAACATCTCCTGTTCGCAAAGCTTCGGAAAAGAAAACTTTTCAGAACAAAACCTCCGAGGGTATCCATGAATCAGAATATTTCTGGACTGACTGCACACAAATTAACTAAAACCAGAGAATTGTGATATCCCTTTCTTCCACCTTGACAAGATTGAAGATTCTCACAAATCTGAATAAAACGTGGACAAAAAGAATTCTGAATTTTAAATCTGCTAGTGAATCTGAGTTCATCTTGGATCTGGTAAAGAAAGGTTTCCCGATGTCAGGTTTATGTCATGCCTACATGAACTGTGAATCAGACTCCACATGCCTCTCAGTTTCACGTCTTAGGTCTACGACAACAGCTTGTAACTTGAAATGGTCAATTCCAAACTTACGTGACTCAGACCAAAATATGTGACAAGAGCTGCTACTGGTGCTGCCATTGAGAAGACCATGAGGTGTCGGCGTATCTTATTGCGCTGGTAGTTCTCGTGTAGTAAGAACGTCACCAGGCCAAATGCTGCTGGCGCCTGTTTTCAAAGAGGCACATTTCTTTTTTCTAAATTTGTAGGAAAAGTGCTTAAAAATGTGCAGGTACATAGCTGTATGAATATGGAAAAGGTACATGTGGTCACATTGCCCAGTTTTGTCCCATTTGGAGGAAATCAACACTGCACTCATAACTTCAACAACTTCAACATGCTTGTGAACGTATCACAATGTAACAGTCTTGCAACAGGAAATTCTCAATATCAAAATATCTTTGTAAACAAGGAATGCTGTTGTACATTATACAGAAAATGAACAAGAATTCAAATGTGGGCCTGCTACCTTATGAAGCATGATTGCGATGAAAACAATCATCTGGACATCTGTTCGGCCCATTGCTGCTGCCCCCATAGCAACACCGTCGGCTGGTAATGTAAAAAAAAAAGCAAAAATAGTCAGATTGTCTGCCATACAGATGCTAACAGCTGTCCTGTCCATGTGAATTGCAATCCAAGACTATAGAAAGGATACATTTGAAAGCAATCAGAGTACCCGTAATCCATGCATTGCACGGCAGTTCAAATATTCAAATCAGAAGCTAAGATAACGGAAGCAAAATAATCTGTGGCGAACACACACAGACCAGTCTGAAAATCAAATCAATATACACACCGAATTACCTGCAGTAACCCGAGAAGCATTGTGAAATTACTACATAAAACAGCTGGCCCTTTCTATTAATTCCAAAACAATGAACACTAGACTGCCCTATGAATGAGTGGCTGATACTATTAACTAAATGTAGTACTGAAATGAATGCTTCACGTGCACAGTAAAAGGCATTAGTGTGATGACCAGCACATGAACCAACACACGTGCATACTCCATCCATTTGCACTACACTTCCTGTTCACAATGACATCACACTTCGGTACTCTATAGAGACCGAATGCAAACAGCTTACATGGCACTCGGAAAATGTGCAGTGCTTTACCCATATAAATTTCTGGATGGGTACTTCACAAAGGCATTGGGCATGCTACAATGTATTGCTGCTTGATAAACTGTATTGGACTTCTGTTTGTACATGTATGCTGCATTCTGATTTCTTGAGGAATGTTCCCCATTCTTTGGTTTACTTAGCAAAAGATTGTGACACATACCTGCTGCATGTACAACTAGTCCTAATGTTGCAGTGAATCCCACCCGGCTTGATCTAGATGTAGTTTCACCTTCACCTGGCCGGGAAACAAGACAGATGTTGAATTCATATTAAGATTTACCAAGCAATAACTTCCACACCAATAATTCCAAATAAGGACTGTGGCATTGTAATGCATTTCTGTGTTCTTAGCCACACCCACAGAAAGAAGAGTTTTGCATTTTGGTTTTTTTTTGTTTGGAGGTTTTTTTGTTTTTGTTGGTTTTAGGTTTTGATTTGGGTTTTAGGTTTAGAATTTGGGGGTCTTGGTTTAGTGGTTCTAGTTTGGGGGTTTGGTTTTGGGTTGTAGTTTCGGGGTTTTTGTTTCAGAAATTTGGTTTATAATTTCTGTTTATTGAGTTTTGTTTTTGAGTTTTGTTTTGGGCTTTTGGGTTTTTGGTTCAGGGGTTTTGATTTCTGGGTTTTGGGGTGCAGTTTGTCTATGTTGGTTGGTGTGGTTGCTTAATTGGGTTGGCACAGCTTGGGGGGTTGGAGCTCAGCTTGGTTTGTTTTGGACGAAGTTGGCTTGGGTTGTTTGATTTGGTGCAATTAAGGATTATCATAAAGATTTTTTTTGAAAAGACTTTCATAGCTCCGCTGTTTGTAACATAATTTACTCTGTGGATAATCTGTCTACTTTTTTTTCCTCTTCAACACTGCAAGCTAACCTGCTATTTGAGTGTGAGAATGACCATGAGCACCTCCGATCTGATCCACCAGCAGCATGAAAACAAACCCTAGAACTAATGCCACCCCTATAACATAGTGGAGTTCCTCCTCGCTGTGTGTCATGTGAATGTGAGCGTGGGTTTCCCCATTAGCATCATGGGGGTTGCCATTGGCTGGCTGCCCTCCTGCCTGGTTTTCTGCTCCTGCCACTGGTGGGTTCACAGCTCTATGGATGTGTGAATCTGTAAGAAAATGCAGCTAACAATGAATATGTAAGTATATTTATTAGGGGAAAAATACTGTATATTTTTCAGACATTAAACGCACGAGCAGGGTCTTCAGTTCAATTAAAATGCTCACAAAGAATGCCAAGGTACAGTTCTTTATTATGTACTCTGAATCCAGGCATGCAACTAGGACTTTGACCAAAAAAGAGGAAAATTTCAATCTTTACGAGACTTTGCAAAGTGTTTTTCATGTTTCAAAGGTATGGATGTTAAGTGAAAAATGAGGAAATCAGCTGATCCAAGGAAACGTTGCAAATAACACTCTACCAGAAAAAAAATCACAACCCTCAACCAAGAGTGGACTCAACCTTACTCATTTCATGCCAAAGGCAAGAGTTTCTACCTGGGTTGAAGCCTGGTCCCAAGCATGGGCAAGTTCAAACCAAGGAGTAATCAATCTCAGGGTTGACATGGGGTTGGCACAGGCTTCAATTTTTGAGAGTGTGAAATACCAGACTTCCAACCCTGCATCAACCCTAAGATTTGTTCAATGTGAAAAGCACTATGAACTGTTGTAAATCTGAGCCAGCTCATGTCTGCAAGAAACTTCCTGAGCCTTCTCAATTTGTCTACAAATAGCAGGACACCTCAGCACATTCTCTGTACTTCTCAGGATTGGCACAGGGTTCAAGGGGTATCAAGCCCCTCAGTACAGAAGTTGGCCTCTGGTACCAATTAAAAAAAATCCACAACCCCCTGGAGGACTTGGAAGGATCTCTGAGCGTGAGGTCTACATACACGTGCAGACTTGTGCAACTTTTCTAATAACAAAAAATAAATGAATCCCAAAGTGTGGCCTACCATGTGTTGCCTCAAATAATGTGTGCACACCCTCTGGAATGATGACAGCCAGTGCTGTGCCCACAAGGAGACCTGCCCCCAGAACTGTCACTAGTCTCATCTTGCTCTGTAGGAAAATCAAACAGATTATGAACCTCTACCATGTTAGAATGATCCCTGATTTAAACTTAAGGGAAACCTGTTAGATACCAGGGTCTGACTACAATCTCTGAACTAGCTCTGGAGAAGAAAGAGGTGACATGTTCTTTTCAAGTTTGGGGAGGCTAAATAAGTAGCACTTTCCGCAACAAGGGGCAAGAGTGATGTCAGTTTATTGGTTATCAGATATCTTTATTGGAGTGAAAAACAAACTGGTCCCCAAGGGGATTTTCAGCGCTCCGCCCTCCCTGCGCTCTCTCCCTCTCCCTAGCTCGCACCACCGCTCCCTCCAGGTCTCTCCCCCTGCATGGATGCTCGAGTCCCATCCGTAGCACTGATATCCACTTAAAATAGTCATTCCAAACACCAATCATGACCACAAAGTAAAACCAATGGTTAAATTTAAAAAACTCAAAGAGTCTGACGTTTCAATCCTAGCAGAACCTTTCTCAAATGCTTATATAAGTTATAAAACCACGATGCTTGGGATTACCATTTTAAAAACCAAGAAATGTTTTAATTCATTATGCAGTGCATTGCTTGTGCTATATTACATATAACCGAAGATGAAAAAAAAAAGCAGGAAAGACTTCATGTCAGACAATTCCAATGTTCGAGTGTCATCTGGACCCACTCTTATGCTCAAACCTACATGTATACCTCTTGGCATGCCAAGAAATGAAATGCCCTTTCCTTGCAAAAATGTAAAATTAACAAACCTAGGCATAGAATATGTACTGTAGAACGAAGAGGGATAGAATGTGGCATAGTGCCTCCACTTTTTCTTCATGTGCCATCTCAATAAAGGTCAGTCATTGCAGAAAGGCTGCAAAGATATGAATCTGTGAATAAAAATAATTTCCAATTGTTTGGACCCCCTCAGACTTTGTACACAGCAGCTGAAGTGGAGTTAAGATGCAACATTCTTTCCCTACAGGGTTTGTCACCATGCTGTACTCCGTAGTTCTCAGGGTAAAACTACCACACGGCAGTGTTGTAGTCGAGTACCTTTTTCCAAGTACCAAGTATTTGACCATTCACAATAAGCATGTGGTGTCTGCAAGCGCATGCCAATGACAGCTTCCTGGGCAGCGCAACGTCCAGCGTACAACTAGATGTAGTCACGATAGTCCAGGTTAGACGTTGTCTTGATTTACACTAGGACTGACGTCTAGGGTATAAAGTTCTCCTACCATGGCAGAATTTTTTTTAAACGTGTTTTCTCACACTTTTACCTGGCGGAGGCAGCTCATATGTCGTTCACAAGTGCCTTGTAACCTGAATTCCATAAATGCTGTGTAGAAATTACTAAGTATGCCCGCAGATAACAAACTTTGGAGGAAATTTAGCACTCGTGATTCATGAATGATCTACATTTGTTTAGTAGGAGCCAGGCAGACGTCAGACCTCACAGTTCTGGGGGTACACTGGGCTATGGTCACAGCTACAAGGGGGCAAAGTGGTCAGAGGTGACTCGGTATTGGGGCGAGTCAACCAGGTATGCCAGGGGATGAGTACCCCCAGAACTATGGGGCCGGTCGTCTGCTGCGCTTGCATGTGGGAGTGCAGTGGATGTCAAACCCCCAGGACACAGTTCTGGGCATGCTTGGGGTAGTGGGTGAGTTGACCTGACACCAACCCAATGCCTTGATTGACCATAACCCCCTAGGGTGTGTGTAAAATTAAATTTAAATCGGACGACTGAGGACTGTTAGGGCTGTTATGCCCCAATTTCAGCATCAGTCCAAACTATGGGGCAGTGTGGACATCCGGGAGTTTCACAAAATTGCGGGTAGCAACCACACCGCGCCAACGGAAAAACTGCAACAAGCGCACGTGTACGTACTGATCAAAGAAAAGATTGTGTAAACCGATCCTTGACTGGCTGGTGTGTGTTCCACGGTTGCTGTTTTCACGAGCACGGTACCTGCTGTTTTGCAAGAATCCCGGATGTCCGCGCTGCCCTAGCTTTACTGAGTGGAGCATCAGTATTCCTCTTTTTTGAATTTTGGACTGGATCACTCACACTAACACTCCACGAAATTACATAAAGTAAAGTGATAGCGGTTCCCAAAAATTCCAAATACTGACCAAAAATACCTTTATCACCACCTACTGCCTTCCTTAAATGCCAAAGTCAAACCGTTGGGTTTCCATGACATTTCGGACTTCAAAGCTGTCAAAATCCAACCTGAAACAGTCGTTGGTAGCACTCCTAAACATCATGATCAACAAGTCCTGTGCCCAGACCATGTATAGGCCACTCATGCGTGTGTTTTGGAGGACCAAATTCATCTATAGAGTTATTGTGCCAGCAATATTTCAGCATGCGTATTTGAATTGGAAGAGGCATTGAATAGTTTACCTGCCGTGTGTGTCTCGAGCGAAAATGGTGGGATTTTGACAGACTTTGAAGTCCAAAATACAACTGCAGCCCCAAAGGTTTGATTTGGCATTTAACTTTTAAGGAAGCTAGTAGTAGGTGGTGATAAAGGTATTTTTGGTCAGTAGGCCTAGGCCTATTTGGAATTGTTGGGAATCGTTGTCACTTTACAATATGTAATGTCGTAAAGCGTTAGTATTACCAATCCAGTCCAAAATTTGAAAAAGAGGAATACTACCAGGCCAGCAGCTAACGCTCCACCCAGAAGAGTTAGCAGTAGCACTGCCACACCAGCCCACAGTTGGGTCCATTGGGCCCATCCCACCTAGGCTAGAGTGCTATAGTTGAGCCAGCCCAACAACAGCCATGACAGCACTGAGGTCCAGTGTGCATGTGCCCAGCATGTTCTAAAGTCATATTGTTTACAATAAGGCTAGCAATCTGTCAACACTATTCACGAACTGCAGTCGGGGCCTTACGTGATCATGATATAAAATTTGGGTATAACTTGCCTCAGAAAAAGGTACGGTAAGGGGTATTGTTCCGGCGACGAAGCACCCCACTAACATAGCAAAAGAAAGCAATAATATTCCCCAAGCATCCTCCATGCTGTATTACTTTTAATTCATATGTAAAGTATTGGAACGATCCAGGTTTAGATGTTTTTGCTGCTCTCCAGCTGCGCTGAGTGCAGAACCCGACAACGTGTAAGCTGAAGTTGGATTTGGACAGCGCATGCAGATAGATACGTACGGTACGTACATGTACATGTACAATGTACGTATGTCGAAGTGCATACGATGGAAAAGTAGTCGGATACCAAACCTTATGTGCAACAATCAGAAGGTCTTTATTAGTTCAATTCGGATACCAGACTTTAAAACCTCAGAAATTATTGTATACATTTCATGAATCTTGTTTCATACGTTATTTTCCAGACCTGCCACCCAACAAAAAAGGGAATAAAAAATCAATTTCAATTATTGAGTAGCCAACATATACAGGCAAAACTTCAGAACGAAATGGCAAGGGAAAAAAAGCTTGTGCATACTTTCTTGGATACAAAAAATTCTGAACTGCAATATTGAATATTTTTAAAAATCATGCAACAGTCATCGGTAATTAAAGCACAAATGCCTTTTCATAAAATGAACGTAAGAGGCGCCACGTACGCCGAAGTGTGAATTCTGACCACGTCGGGGTTTAGTGCATGCATCGGCCGAAATTGTGAAGAAAATCATTTCCCACAAACTCCTTATTTTGGAAACTTTGACTGCCGTGTAATACAACCTTCTGTGATTGGAGCAGTCTTCTAGGAATTTCCTTGTCTTAAAATGGTATGGTAGGCCTTCAATTTTGAGTCATGAGAAATCATTGATCAACACAAACACTGCAACCATTGAATCATTTGAATAAACCGTTTCTACTTTTGCAATGCGTGTTTATTTTATGCACAAGCCTATGGAGGAAGTGTACCTGCAAAACATTAACCTGTTCCGTTTTATTTCATCTCTTGGTCATCCTCGGTGTTGTGGTTTCCTGTCCAGGCCGGCGGCAACCATGGCAACTAATCTTTTCCAGTGTTGATGGTCTAGGGCAGCATTTTGTATCTCCTGTTCGAACAACACAATAGAGCCTCACAGTAGTAGGTTTGAAATATATTGTTGGTAGACCATACGCTGACCCCAAGCTCTACATCAACTACGATTTGGCACGTAAAGCCATACTTGTGAACTAGATCATCAAGGTCATGACGAAGCTGCACTTTGACTTCTGATGAGAGTGGACAGCTATATGCTTCAGAGGTAAACAATGGAGTTAGGAATGTGCTCGTGACGACTTCTCCCAGCACGATTCGGAGGCAGTTCTGTTGGACCATGTCAAGCTGATCACATGGTAGATGTCAAAATCCATATTTTGGAGCCATATAGGAGGACGCTCAGTACAGAAACTCTGTACAATCAAACTTTGAAATCAATAGGAAGGGAGGACTTCCAGATGTGTTTGAGCCTCCAAAATGGTTCCCATGCTTCGCCACGGCAGTATGTTAAAGTCATTCACTGAGGAAGCAATGAATGACCCTAGGTATTTGAAGTCGTCTACAAACTCAAGATCTGTCAGAGGTATTACAGCCAACTAGAACTGAGCTCTTGGTGTTGCTGTAGAGGAGACTGATGGCATGAACAAGTTTATCTGGTATACCATAGGAGTGTAGAATCAGTAGGATTTTGCATTGGTTCTTGGTATCAAATGCTTTATTAACATCTACTAAAACCAACACAATGAGAAGCAAACACATGTTGGCGCCTTCAATGATATGATGGAGGAGGTGAATGTGCTCCACACACCCACAACCTTGGTGAAATCCGGCTTGGTTCCGTCCCATAACATCAATGATGGGCTGTTGGATATGGCTTAGGAGAAGACGGTTATACAGCTTTGCAGCAAGGGGCATTAGACTACTGCCTCCGAAGTTGGTCATGAGTGATAGATCACCTTTTTGGGTTTCTGGAACAACAAGAGTCTGGAACCACTCCTTGGATGCCTGGCCGATATTGAAAGCGAAGTTATAGACATAAAGTATTTCACATATAATGTAAGCTCAACTTCTACGTACTTCGGAGCCTCTGTACATATTTCTGCATCATGACCTGGTGCCCTGTTATTAATAAGAATCTTGATAGCAGCACTGAGTTCATTCATTGTAAAGTCGGTGGACAGATCTTGTGCGGGGGGATCATCAGTACTGAAGGTCTCAGTAGGTGAATTGGCAGAGTTTGGTAGATGAGAGAAAAAGGTATGCCATTCCGCCAGTAGCGCTTCGGAACTAGCGGCTGGCTGCGCATTAGCATCTTGTACTCTCAAAGCAAAGTCTTTTACCACCAAGTTCATTAACGGTTTTCAAGGTTTGTCGCACAGTGTTTTTGTCGGTGGCTGCTTGAAGCTGTTTGATCCTATCTTCAAGGAAATGACAGTCGTCAGCCACATAAGAGTGGGCAACCTGACATGCCAGGTCCTGAGGTGCCATTGTGGCTTTAGTGCAGGTGTCTTCAAATGTCGATAACGCCATTTAGCCTTGTTCCTATATGCAACAAGCTGTTCTGTCTGAGGGGACACCCACATAGCCCTTCGAGGTTTGGATTTAGGATACACCACGCTCCTGGACACCAGTATCATTGTCTATTGGAAGAGAGACGAACCTATTTGAAATTTTGAGAACAAACTGACGTTGAATACTGGGATCTCAGACAAGTTTTTCCCAGTTGTAGCAAGGTATTTTGTAGGCCTTTAGGCTTTGCGGCTGGCTTGGACCAAAGGCTAAACTTGAAATGAGCGTTAACACAGCAGTGATCTGAATCTATTCCCAAGGAATACTGCAGTTCAAGCCATCCTCTTCTCACAGAGCATTGCATTATAGATTGGGGAGGAAGATTTTCACAAACTTCGAAGTTTAGAGCATGGCAGAAAAGAAAAATTTGGGGAATTCCTTCCAACAACACGAGTTTTTGTCATGGACCATGTTTTGACTAAGATCATGAATATTAATGCCCTAGTATTGACCAATCAATATCACGGCTTGTTGCTCATTCATCCCACATTGACCAATCACATTGTTTTCAGCTTAGAATGACTGGTGCCCTTAAACAAAGACAAGGTTGATTTTTCTTCATACAAGCATTTGAAAAATTATTTATTATTTGTAAAATCCTTGTATACTATGCATACATCTGTCAGGTGATGAGCAGATACTTTAAAAATTTTCTGAAAAAAACTGTAAAATCTAATTTCTGACTGGTTCACTTCCCCCATAGATTAACGTATAAAATGCATGGCTTGCTTGTCATCTAAACCCATAATGCACTCTGAACATCGAAAAGGTTTATTACGCCGGTGACCGTACAGTCGCCATGTCCCCTTATTTCGCCACTTGCTATGAAAACCAAGCAAACATGGCATTGGGTGGCGAATTGAGGGAACTGGTGACTATACGGTCACAGACATTAGGCCTATAGCATGCAGACCGCCGAACAGGAACTAGCCCCAAACTGAACTGGTACCTCCTTGGCCCCACGACAGTCCACCCAAAAGTGGACACCTCGTGAAAGTGCCCTCTATGAGCCCTATTTTGCACATAGGGCTCACCCCTATATAGTCATTGATGCATCAATATGGGCAATTTCCAGTGTGTTTCTGGCCATGAAAGTTTGGTTTTGATTTGGTAGTCTTCTCATTCAGCCATTGGTTTTTCTGGCAATCCTTGCATCGGTTTCTGTCCAACGATTTTCTGTTTTCTTGCAGGCACACACCATTCTTCTCATCCAACCAGGACCAGCCGAGACGAGAACATACTCTGACTATGACTCTGTCAAAGACTGCATGGAAGGTAAAGAGGAGACATATGACTATTCGTAGTCTTGGAAATGGTCCACACAGGGCATGACTGTACTCAACAGCCAGTATGTTGAACATGCTTCATTAAAACCCTCCTATGCTGAAGTCACTCTTTGGGTCACTTGGTAAACACCTCAAAGAAGCACGGCTGTGTGGTGTAGTGCACTGCACCAACAGTCCCTCACAGGAATATCAGATTGCACTTTTGTGCTGCCCAACAACTGTGCTTCACTGTTTCATGTGCATAATTGTGCAGTAAACCAAATGCAGTGAAGAGGACTGCTCAAAAGACCTTGGGTCATTTTGTGCTGACAATCTACTGTGAACACACTGAATCTGTGCATGTTAGAGTTCCATATAGAAAATAAATGCTCACCAGTGACTGTGGGCACTTGTGCACATTTGTGCTGTAAAACCAAAGGAGGGTTAATTAAATGCTCCAAGTGCAATGTCTCGGATTTGAATTCAGACTTCTTTGAAATTACATGGCATGACTTCTGCTTGGTTTTGTTGAAATTCTTTGCAAATACCCCAACACCAGAACACGTTTTAGCACAAACAAGGCCACAGATTGGAAAAGTAATGAGGAGAATTTATTTTGTTGAGAACTGGACAGAAATTGTAACACTTCATACACTGTAGGTTGGACCATATGCATGAAACTCCACAACATGCATACAGTGAGTACACTTGTATTTGTCCAGAGACATAATTACGGAAATATCTTTATTTTACACATTACATTACGCAGACCACCAGAATTTTCAGAAAGATCAATCCTAGCAGACGTGATTCTCCATTCTGAATATACAGGAACATGTACTTCTTTACCATTACCTTTTTTAATTTGATCAAATAATTGCAGACGCAAAAGAAAACGTGTCATTGTTTACTATAGTCATTTGCAAAAGTTTAGGACCACCCATACAAAATGCATTCACCTGAAGAAAAACCAAACTTAAACTAATCAATCATGGCAACTTATGTTTATTTTCATTGTGTAACTATAGTGCACGTGTCTTGGTGAAACAACTATTTTAACTACATTTCTATGATTTTAAATATTAACAGTCTAATATTTAGCGTGCCCTCCTTTATTTCTGATTATTTAGACTTTTTTTTTCACTCATGCTGACTTACAGACAAAATGTCAGACAAAACCTGCCTTTGCCAAAACCTTCATTCAAATGACCATGTAGCACTACAGTGATGTTGTGCACCCCTGTAAAAACATGTTAAGAGACAATGTAATGCAGGCCCAGTGACAGAAATACCGATAAAATTCTAGGAGGTCTTAAACTTGTTAAAATGACCGTAGTGCAGCCAGATATTGTTTTTCCTTTCTGCTTGGGTGCAGGAGTTTGCAAGATCTACGAAGAACATCTGAAACGATGCAATCCCAATAGCCCATCCATCACATACGACATTGGCCACCTGTTCCAGTTCATCGATGACCTCAAGGATCTCAGCTGTCTTGTGTAAGTATCTCTTCCGTCCATCAGAGCCAAGCTTAATTACATATCCGTTAATTGTCATACCAAAAACCAATTGCATAGTCAGCTAAACGTATGTTCAAGTCATGACTCTTAGTGTTATTCATAACTGCACTGGTGGACTACAGACCAAGGGTGAATGTCATGGACGATGACCTTGGGTGATTTTTGTTCAGAAAAATGTTTCAGCTACAATGAGAGCTATCTCTGTGATGCAGGACATAATATCAGGCAAACTTTTCCCCTCAACATCACATTGACATCAGAACAACCAAAACAGATTTCTTAACCCTATACTCTTTAGGGTTAGGTCTATTTTGTTAGGGACCTCCTGGAATGCTGTAACATCTTCCACAGGGCAAGAAATGAATGACACGTTCTTAATTCTGAAATGTTCCTATGGCATCAGTCCTTGTGTAAAAAGATCAGTGTCTGGAATGTACCTCCCGCAAGCCTTCAAAATCCACCCAGACCTTCAGGTGGATTTGGGAATATGTAGAAGTTTTAGTACTTATGCTGACAGAAGAATTGCAACACAAAGATTGATCTTTGATAAGCTCCTTTGATTAATCAAATAGTTGACTATTTAAGGCCATCGCCATATTTTGATTTTGTAAGTCTTGTTAGACCTGACTATACATTTAGTCTCTGACACCTTTGGATTTATTTTCAAAAGGTAGAAACTAGTACATGTATTGATAACAGTGAAACTTGCAAAGGCTGTCACAGGGTAGTTAACATGTACAGTATTGGACACTGCATCCACCATTACCGAGGGCCTTCTTAACGAATACATGTGTAGTTGTCAAATCCCTGGCATTGTGTGTAAACAAAGATTTAGAGTGTCACAAACATCCTGTCCCAGTTGAGAATACCTAGGGAATGAGACTCAATGCATTTACATGGATCTGTCCATCTTCAAGATGCTTTGAGGGGCATGCTTTGGCCTTTTCTTGTCTATTCTGCTGCTTTCTTTTCATCCCATTGCTTCTTTGACGACATTAACTCACTTCAGTCATCTTCTCCTGGTAAACATAATTATAAGTTAATTTACTAACCTGGAAACCTAACCCTTACGTAGCTCCTACTAAAAATAATCAATGCGTAATTTACCAAAGCCGAGCACTGCATGAGGAGAGAAGGTTGTACAAAATTTATGTGGTGGCGGCCAATATCTGTAACACACTACTTATGTATTTCAAAAGGATGCTAGATGGACATGCATGTCACTGCATCAAGAGGATGGCAGAATATATGCACTCAAAGTATCAAGATAACAAATAATTGGACATGGATGAAAATCCTTTGTTTTTCAAGCATTGGCATTGAAAATTCATTTCTTTGCATTGATGTTTTTGTTGGTTACTACTTCCTGGCAAGAAGCCAAAGGAAACCCATTATTTTTTGTCATATTGAGTTCAAGAGAGACAAGTGATCTCAGAATAGACGCTCTCGTGTTGCTGTTCCTGTCCTAGAGGGTTGCATTTGTCCTTGATTGCAAAAACAAAACAAGAAGAAAAGCAACAAAATGAACGGGGCTTAATACATGTACTTATTCACTGCTCTGTGGCTGTTCCCATCCCAACAGGTTGGATAAGAAGACTATGGCGTACCTTCCTTGCAACAAGGACTGGGTCAAAGAGAAGATATATGTTCTCTTGCGGAGGCAAGCCCTCAAATGATGAACAATAATGGCCAGTGGCAAGGGTGAGGGTCTTTTCAAGATTGCATCACTGCAAGGGAAAATGTGTGATACAGTGCAGACTAGGGGACCATTTTAGGGTCCCGGGGACCAGTTAGAATTTCAGGGAAATTATTTTGTCGGTGTACATGTACGCCATACGTGCAAGTGATCGGTTAGTGATTGTTTTCTGAACACTGATCTCTCTTGACGATCCTTTTATACTAGTTAGCCAGAATATCTTCTGGCAATTTTCAGAGTTTTCTGTCACTGTTTCTCCACCTGCTTTGTTTTTTTCTTCCTGCTTCTGCCCTAATGCTTCAACTCATGAGCTGGCTGTTGTGTACGCAGCATGTCGTATGTTGTGAGCCTGCGGACAGTGAGTCTTCAAGCTTAACCCTCTTTCAGCAACAGATAACATTAGTGACTCTTTGATGTGTTGCGAGCTTACAGCAGCCATGTTTTTTTTTCTGCGTTGCCATATCTTTTCAGTCGTAGTTTTGTAACCATTTGACAAACCAGTATTTGAAAGTTTAAACCACATGTTTTTGTCACAGAATGCGATACATTTGGAATGTTTCAGTGTGTCTTTACTCTGTGTTATCCTCACTCTAATGACCGCACATCTGCATGTAAATGTCTTTAAATCCATTTAGTTCATTCATGTCTCCCATACCATCTTAGCACAAAATGTCGCACCAACTATTGTATCATTAGTAAAGTGCAGCATTGGTGATATATCTGAAAGCTTTTATATGCAGTGTTTTCAACACTTGTACGTAATATTACTTCATGTTGTCACACTTCTCTACAGTTGTTACTTTGTGCCACTTTTTTAATGGCGGTAAATCACTTATTATCGGTATTGTTACAAAATGTGTTCCTTTTTGTACAGTGTACATGTACTTGTATATGCATGTATGTGATAGATGCACAGATGTAATCCGTAGTGTTACAGTGGCCTTGAAGTGACACAGCAACTGTCTTAATTGAACAGAGTGAGTGCACTGACTTGCACCTAAAAATTAATATTCACTATATCAAGCTGATGTACACGTACCTTTCTTTCCACGTTTTTATTCTTTCTGTTATAAGCTTACCTTTCAATAGACGGTGGCTGATTAAGATGTCAAAATTCTACTCCACTTGGCTCACAGGGTTTATTCCTGGTTTTGCTCCTCGTTTCTCGCCATCCAAATAAACTAAATGTCTTTGCTGATGTTTTTATTTCTGTCGGCAGATTTGATAGGAAGACAATGTCGTATCGTCCCCACAACAAAGACTTCTTCAAGGAGCAGATCTACAAGCAGCTGAAGGAACAGGCATCAAGATGAGAATGACGGCAGAAATGCTGGACCAGATAAGCCGAGGATAAATCCAACTTACCAAGCAAATAGAGGGGACAACAATGAAAAGCCAAACTTTGTATTAGATTCCTGCAGTGATGTAGCTGTGCATAATTTCTATGTGACACATATGGAACATAATTTGCCCGAGTCTGTCTACTCAAATAAAACTAGAACTTAGCTTGAGAATTCTCCAGCCTATTCCCCCATGCCCCCTTCCCTTAAGGACTAACACCCTCTGCCTAAAACATTTACTACTATACATATTGATTCTCAAATTCATCTCGTCAATGATTGGCTGAAGGGCAGCAAGAAATACTAACAGTAATTTTGAAAAAAATCAAAATCAGCTGATCTTAACTATGTGATTATGTTGACTTATCATTTAGATTTACTGTTAGCATTTGAAATTTCTCATCACAAGCACTGTTGTAATATCGCTGCTGTTCAGATGGACCTGAAAAGTTCTTTGATGGGGAAGGAACTGTGAGTCTTTGTACATAATTAAAATTCCATCTCTTTTTTTTCCTTTTCACATTACTTTGTAGATATAGCAGTCATGACTTTTGTAGAAGTGTGAGCGAAATCTGTTATGTAAGTGCATGGATACTTTTGTATGGAGATGAGAAGCACTTGTACTATTGCAGAATATTTGCGTATGATAGTTTTACAGACAAGAATGACAGTGTATCACTGTACAACGCTCTCCACCGCAACACTGTTGGAAGAGTTTCCAGTTGTTGATGGCTGTATAGGTTGGCTGTGTTTGTCGGGATTTGTGCCAACTAAGTATTGAGGCAAGTTGTTGCCAATGTCTCATGAAGTAAACTTCTGTGGAAAAAAAGGTCACAGTTTTCCTTTTCAATATCATCTTCTCTCTACCAATAGTTTCTGATGTTAAAATTGCAGGAACCTGAGTTGTATGCCAGTTATTCATGTGTTTCCATGTTTTTATCGCATTACTTTTTGGCACAAGAGTTACATATCCTTCATCTGACAAGTTGGGAAAATGCAGTGCCGTCTTGGCGTCAGAAATGCAAAAGTATTGATAGATTGTTGCAAATGTAAGAAATACTGGATGCAATGGTTTTGACATTAATTTCAGAATTAAGTGGGTTGCGTGTATCATGTGCTTGCTATTCAGTTCAGTTTCACTTTTGGGTTTGTATGTGTTTGCTTTGTTTTAGTTTGTTGATTTTGTTGAATAATGTGAATTGAAACTTTCAAAATAAGTCTGCCACTCTTTGAATTAGTAATTCATTCAACCAAGTAAATGTAATCATAATTTAAATCAGTGTTGGTTGATTAGAAGTTTTTGAGTTCCATCGTCAGTGACATATTTCAAGGTTCTTTTCAATACCCGTACAACCGAGATTTTATGTAGTTTAATCAACAAAAAGTTCATAGTGTTTCTCACATTTGCATGTGTAAAATACCTTGTCTTGTATTTCTTACACTGTTCATTGAAGGATTTTTATTCCTAAAACTGTTTCTTTTTGTAAATATTTTTGAGGAGAGAAACAGCACTTGTGTTAGTTGAGTAGAATAAAATGGATTAGTCTTAAAAAGAAATTAAACAGAACCAGTCTATTGATTTTGTAAGTTTGGTGGATTGCTTTCAAGAGAAAATGTTAAAGATTAGCTGTGATCAAGAAATTGTGATTTATATTAAATGAAATTGAACTGGTATTTTTTTTAATGAAGCAGATTTCTTTTAACATCAAAACTGTTCAAAAGCAGCAGACCTTGAACAGCTTTTAAAAAGCAGAGGCGAAAAAAAAACACGTCTCTTTGGCTTCAAAACCGTTTGCAGTCTGTTTGCAGTAATGTTGGAATTTAATGAAAACACTTTCATTGGGGGGGGGGGGGTCGATCGACTCATGGCACACAGTTTGGGGGCACGCAGCAGAAAGAGCCAGAAGTGCCCGATGTCTTGGAAACTCGCTGGCGCTTCTACTACAGCGCCCTCATGTGGTGTATTACTAGCCAGCCGGCTTGCTGCTGCCCACATGTACTGTGACCTCCTTGGCTGGCCTCGCGGAGTCGATGGTTGAATTTGAGATTGGCAAGTGAATGTGAAGTTATAGATAAAACAGAAAGTAAATAAAAAATAGGCTTATTTCAGGATGTGTGTAGAATGTGTGAAAGTGAAATGTCCGGACAGGGTAGGTGGTTTCTTAAATTGTGTAAGTAACTTAGAAAAGTTAGAGTAAGACAGTTCATGGAGGAAGGAACACATTTCGACCGCATTTATTTTTACTAGATCATTTTATATGTGGCCATGCAGCCATGCTTACCTTACTCGTGGAGTAGGCCGGAATGCGAAGCTGGCATGGCTAGGTAGTTCAGGAGTATGGTAGGCTATGGTGGAATAGAGCCTGAAAGTAAAAGGTCATGCAGCGAGCTTCCGGAACCCTCACGCAGTCCTCCTATGGGGATTTTACGTTGGGCCGTCCCATCACGTTCGATACTTTTTGGAAGAATAATTCCTAACTGAAACCACCCCACGAAACACTCATGTGGGAATTTTACCTTTGTCTTCCTCAAGTAATATTTAGGAAAAGTTACACTGAGATATGTAAAAAATGAATTTTCCTAACGACCTTTCACTTTCGTCGATATCGTACCTAGGCCTCCATGTTCATGCAGGTTTGTTTTCACTGCCCGTGCTTACGTGAAAACGAGATTGTACAACGTTGCAAAGATTTACCCACCTGCAGTCGATGGGTTCCATATTCCGTTGAGTTGACATCATGCATGTGTTGTCAACAAAGCTTAGGTAAAAGATTAGAATCTTTCGTAATTGATGTAGAATATTGCTTTAGGTTTACTACTCACAAATTACAAGACTGTTTAAGATATTTTGATTGGTTTTTATTTCGGTTTTTACCGATGGACTACCATAAAATTTCAAACCGTAAATATTCAACTGTGTACGAGACTGGTGCATTGCACTGTCCTTCATGTATTTCAGATTTTCGGAAGTGATGGGTCAGTTTTTGGCAGGATATTTCTCTTTTAGGTCAGGTGATTTTTCAGTTTCTATAAATTGATATACTAGCAAATATTTTCCAAAGCCCCTTTTCCGAGTTGGATTTTTGAAGAAGTAACTGAATGAAAAATCTTACAAATTCTAAAATCTTTGCACGTTATTTTTCCTATCCAAGGCTTCCGGAAGCATGCTATCAGGGGTCAACTTTCAGGCTCTATAAGAACATGAGTTCTTATTCCTCCATAAGCCTTATCACAAATACTGCGTGGGTGATTTTACACAATGGTAGAAAGGCATTGTGGGAAGGAAAAAGGAGCAAACATTGCCACAAGTATTTCTCAGATATTACTGGCCCCGTACCCCAGAACTGTGGGGTTCTATCTCCTCATCTCTCTTTTTCTGTTCAACTTTTTCTGGATCAGCCAGTACCTTTTGACGATACTTCCATGTTAAGATGATTACCCCTAAACAGTCATGAAGCCTGTAGCTGCTTTGAAAATGATGCCTTCACTTAATTGCAACATAGGGTCAATAGGTTTCCTTTTGTCCAAATTTTGCAGAAATACAAGCTGGCAGTCCTGTTGGTAGCCCCATACTGGCCCCCAGTTTGCTAAATACCAAACATTTACTGTATTTATGCAGCCTTTCAAACAATGTTCCCCATAGCCTTGGACATATTGGATCAGAAAGATAAGGTATCGACTGATGGCCAGCACCTGAGTGATCAACCAATCATGCAGATCCACCAGCTGTGCTTTTAATGACAGCGGAGACCATCAGACAAAACAGGCATCAGCCATTAATAGTCGGATTCATTAAGCCCTGCCCCATTATAGGAACTACCAAAAGTAGATGCCCCCTACTTGAAAAATGGGAGGGGGGGTAGGCCACTGGCATCCCTGGTGCCCCCCCCCCCATTCAAGGCCCCAGCAAATGGCAAATTTTCCACTGCCATAACTTGAGCATAAAGGTCTGGAGGCACATGTACTCAAGCTAAGCCCATTAAGAAGGAACACACTGAAACAGCAAAATGTGGGTCCCATGATGACAGGTCAATTAAGCCTTTTTGCGGGTTAAATGTGAAGGAAATCTGGTACACTGAGTTCTTTAAATTCATGTGAATGTAACAATTTGAATTTTCCATACTAAAGACAATGTTGCTATGCTTTTTGATTCGGGCAAGCTTTTGCTTAGTTATATAAGAGAAGCTTTGTACCAGTACTGTCACCGTGGGGAAAGTAACAGTTACCCCAGAGCCAGTATCCCCAGGGTGAGTAAGAGTTGTTTTTGTTGAATTTGAATCACCTTTTAGGGCAGTGTGTGCTTGGAGACTGGGTCATATCTTGTCAACTTCCAAGGATGTGCAAGTTGCCACAGCAGAGAAAACATCCAAATCCAAAACCGACACACAGACACAGATGATGAGGAGGGAGAGGAAAGGGTGACCTATGACCGTGAGTACCGTCCTTGTGCCATTCATGTTGTGCACTGTATACATTCAAACACGAGAAATGTCATCAAATTAGGGCTGTGCCGAATATCCAAATAGTCAATCGATTATCAAATATTTGAATATTATTTTCTGAATTTGAATATTTGAATGCAAAATTCATGAAAAGCAAGAATTTTGTTTTGAATGAGAACAATTACACTATGGAGGCATGTTTCATGCAGATTCAAATGTTAAGCGACAGAAATCTTACAACTCAAAAAGCAAATTATTCACCCCTAGCAATTCCAAATCCTCTGATTTCAATATGATTGTACATACACCCAAGAGGCTTGAGGTTAAAAAGTTTAAAAGGAATACAAATTTTTAACAGGGCAAGAAGTATTGTTTGTCTCTTAAATCTTGCTAAATTGTGGCTGGAGATACATGTACCCCTAGATGTGAGAAGCTATTATACTAATTATAATGTACAGTCGTGTGCGTTACTGCAAATGATTTTGTGTTTGTATGGTTCAATCATCAACAATCTGTCAGTTGGTAAGACAGAATATTCGGACATTCAATCAAATTGAAGGGCAAATATTTGAATGGTGAATCATTTGAATTGACTCTGCCCTACATCACAAAAAAAAAAATCCTATCACTTGTTTTGTGATATTCAGGTCAATTCAAGACTAACATCCCAACCAACTTTACCAAGCACAAAATTATGTGTTGTGGGCTTTTTTTATAAATCAGAAAACGTGCGACACAAAACCGCGCTACGAGTCCAGGCCTAAAATGATGCATTTACATTCAGGTAATTTTGTCATACTTTTCAGGAAGACATAAAGCAAGCCAGTACAGGGGTACGTGTGTTAAATCTGTCTCTTTATGAGAATGTTGACATGCTGTGCTGGAGTTCATACTGCCTGTGCACAAGCCTCTTTATTTTGGAAATTTTTTCACAGGGTATTTACGACTGCATTATATATTTTTTTTAAATTCCCATTTCCCAACAGTACTCATTGTCGGAACCACCTCACAGAATCTCTCCTCTGTCTAATATTTTCTGTTAACAGATGTTTGTGCAGTATGTGAACATCTCATAGCAGAGCATCAGTATGAGTTTAGGATAGAGGGAGAATACCAGGTAAAATATCTCTTTGGATGTTGGAGGTATAGTGTAATAAATACTTGTACATAAACTCCAGGATTTGGAAGGCCACGAATGCGAGCAATCAAATGATGAAATTTTATTTTGAGGGTAATTATCAGGTTACAAAGTGCACAAATAACCTGCTTATGAATGTTTATACGTGTACAGATATTTCAGAGAATGGTTTAAAGCATTAGATGAAGTTGAGGTAAGCCATCAGAATTTGAAAAAAAGGATTCTTTTCATAATTACCAGTTGAAATTCTTCATTTTCCAAGAGTGCACTTGAGTGGGTTTCCAAGAGTGGTAGAGTTACAGATGCTTCTCTTTACCCTCTGGTCAGATTGTCCTGTGGATTTTTTATTCAGTCAAAAGAGAAATGGCCAAACCTCCAATTTGTGCTTCGGTCAAGTAAAACCCAGGCTTCCTTGTATCGTTTTTGTTTCTAGGAATATTCCATGGTTTGCATCCTTTGTGGCAGAGCAGAGGACACAGTAAGCATTCTACCCATCGATCCCAATAAACAGTTGAATCTGTTCTGATGGAAAATGATGGATGCGTTCGGAACTGATCCGCGGGACCAGCAATCTGCCATGGAAAATTAATTCCTCGAACATTGTCGAGATGTCTATAATTAAAAAATAGCAAATGAGAATACATTGGACAAATGTTTAAAAGCAATCGAGTCTTCTTCAGCTGTATGCTTTCTGTACAGAAGATTACACTTGTGCTGCTGTGTACCATTCAGACTGATCCCAAATAGACCTGTAACATAATGATGTCACGCTTTGTTTACATGTGTGGTTTTCTGTGGCAGTGACATGGGGCGTTGTCACAGAGGGATATTAAATCGGAATTACTTTTAAATTAATAATACCATATAATTTTGGCCCTAATTGTTGAAAAGATAAACATGGTATTTAGTAGTGAAACAAGATTTTATTTTCCTGAGCTGCCACACCCAAACATTCCTGAAATCAGTCAACCTTACCAGAATGATGGGCTGAGTGCCAGTTGAGTTGTTATTGGTAGATGTAGCCACTTATGCATTAATTTGAATAATGAATATTTATGAAGGGTATAGTACACAAAACATTTTGAGTTCTTTGGAATAAGGCGTGGCAGTGCTGGAATTTTTCCTTCGGGTTTAAAAGAAAAGATATGGGTTGATGTGATCAGTTCATTGCTGGATTCCAAGGAGAGGGCAGCGGCCAGCCTCAATGACGTATAGTCGTGAGTCGAGTTAGTCTTGAGATGAGTAACTTCTAATTATGGAAGTAGAATAAACTACATGTACGTTCAGACTGTCCTGAGAAACGGAAAGCCAGGAAACGACCAATTCCTGTAAGTTAGCCATGTATAAATATGATATATTGGATATTTATTTTATACATTTATTCCTTGCAAAACCAGATCTTGAGCCAGTGAAAATGAGATTTGCCGAGATACTGCATAAAATCCTAATTGATTTAAGTAATTTAAGTTGAGGTTGTTGCAGCACTGAAACATTTATCTTCAAAGTTGACACACTTCATAACTCTTCAAATTCATTAATGAATATTTTGCGTTAAATGTAACTTGGCAAGAAAATCCAGAAACATGGGAATATGGTGGTAATTTTCAGGGTTTTAAGTTAAGAGGAAGTCGGTTGACGGGTGGTGACAGAAGGGTTGGACTGCGGCGGCGGGACGCAGAAACTTGCCGAGTCAGCCACAGGCCACAGAAGCCGACTACAATGCAAGAAACAGAGGCAACAAGGTGGTGGGACATTGAGGCGCTCATCACCTCATATTGTAATTAAAAACAATGTTAATGTGAGAAATTAATCCTTATTTTGTGTTCTTTTATGAATAAATGTAAATATTGTACAGGCAAAACAAATTTCCAGCAACAAGTGTGTATATATATTTGTGTCTCAGTTACCAAAGGTCTGTCCCTAAGGGTAGGACAACATGGGGGGTGTGACAGACGTGATCCATGGAGTCCCCATTTGTAGGAAAGAGCACATGTAAACAGAAGTGTGACGTCATTATGTTTTAGGTCTGTCGTTTCCAAGCTGCTGTGCACATGCGTTACAGTTGTGAACTGAAATCACTTATTCACGTACTTCATGGAACATCCTTTAGCCACAGTTTCACACATGGGTCACATTTCATTCCAACTCTTTCCAAATTGTTCTGGAGCTACAGTGGACAGTTCTAATGTCATTGTCCAGTGCAACTGTGTGGTGAAGTTCCTGCTGTCATAAAATTGCTGCAGATTCCTAATTCTTTGAGGATTTATTGGAAATCCAGTGTCTCGACCTAGCTTACTGTCATGACAACTTATATTACTGATGTATCAAGGTAATTTTAGTGTAAATAGAGTGGATTGTTTATTGTGTAATGTATACATATGTACATAGTGATACATCCAATTGGGATGCTGCCCATCTGTACCTGTCATCTCTACACCAGGCTTCAGTTGCTGGGGGAAAAAATCTTTCGATTCATAGTCAAACAAGCTATGCAAATTCCACATTACAGACTGTTCATAACTGCCTAAGGTCTTCTGGTTTTCTGCACAGGAAAGTTGCATTTATTAATTTGAAACACTGAAACCTGCAGCAAAAATTCAAAAACAACATCCTGTTTTTCATCCCAATTGGAATGGGGAGTCACTTTTTTCCTCTCTTTTTCAGTACATATGTATTCAGAGAAACAATCGTCACACACTTCCAGGAGTCACTGGACATGATTTATTTGTACATTTTTATCTTTTCGCTGTAATAATAAACTGAACTCTTGTATATAATTTTAACTTCAAGCCTACAATCTAACTGATACAGAGCCTTTAGTCAAGGTAGGCATGGCTACCTGGACACATAATGCACATGTGCGATGAAAATTACAAGCGCGAGTGACAAAGCCACAAGGCTTGTGGCTTGTCACTCGCACTTGTAGTTTTTGTCGTGCGTGTGTGCGTTATGTGTCCAGGTAGCCAAGCACACCTTGAGTAAAGGCTAACTGATGCAAAGAGATGAAACACAACGTCAAAGGTCAAGGATTATCAGAAAACACACTTCATATTGTGCTGAAATGGTGGTGGTTCTGCTCTTCAATTTCAAGGTCTTAATGAATATGGCAAAACCATTTTTTTGGGACCAGCACAATCTTTGGCGAAAAAAATCTTAAGCATCTTCAAGAAATAAATATCAGTATCAAACATTTTACTTTCCAGGATTTCCCTTTTTTTTATCCTTACAGTTTCTATCTTGCCACCAAAGGACTTTTGTTAAATGTTGTGAAGTTTTAAAAATATGCGAGTCAGTCTGCTCACAATAAATTATACATGTACATGGATAACTTACAATAAAATGAGAAGTTACAAATTAATACATGGCAGTAGGTACTTTCCCTGTGGCACCAGAACTTATAGTGTAGGTGCTTATAACCTGCAGCATATGAGACGCCTTTACCAGATGGGCTATCACTGGTGTTCGATACATAAGGTACATTTATTCCACTGAAAGTCTGTTTCACTTCGTAGGAGGAACTTGGATAGAATTTCTGAACTGGTCTGTAGAAAAATCTGGATATTAAATATATTGATAAACTACAATAATCTACATGAACCAGATGAAATTCCATTCACTTTAATAGTAGTTGATGCCTAGTTTCAGCATCCACTTGAGAAGATGGGTGCAGTCTCTGGGTTTAGGTTGAATTAGATACTGTTGTACCCGTCAGTAAATAGCCACCAGTGCCGCTCATGTTGACACTGGGATGGGTCCGCTCGGGAAGAACCTGGAAATGAAACAAACATCCACATGCAAAAACACTGTACACTGGACATGCTATGCCAAGTGTAATTTGTAGAGAACATCAGTCGTATCCAGAGGAGTTTGTACTTGCATGGCTCAGGTCAACTGTCCTGGAATTGTTAATGTACAGTGGAATCATTGCACAGGAGCTGTATGTATTCAGAGAAGGAAGCATTAACTGCCAATTCTTATCAGGTCTACGATCATCCCTTAAATACCCTTTAGTTGGAGGGACTTTGGAAAGACCTTGGCTATTCATAGGAAGACCTCACAATAGGGTACACGAGGGCAAAGTGGATAATGCATCGGGGTGTAGCACAGGGTTCAACTTTTTCCCCTGGTTTTACAACACAGATGACAGAAGGATTTGGAAATGGAAAGCCTACTTGTACTTCATGGGGGGTTGCTTCAGAGCAGGGACGTTTTCTTTTGTTAGGAACTTCGGGACAAAGTTTCGGGGACAAAAATTTGCCACCTTGACGAATTTGTTCCCACAAATATCATGCACCCAGGCTGGACAATCTCTATTACTGGGAAAATCGAGACCGAGTTGTAGAGAGAATTTCTGCCCACTTGACACTCTGTGCACAAACCCTATGAGACTGGTCTGAACAATTCCAAGTGTTTTCTACGTGAATACCTCGATATTTGCGCTGCGTAATTTGACTTTTCAGGACATTGTAGGACACTGTAGGGAAAAGTTAGTGGTTTCCATACATGAAATTCTTTCACAAATTGTGGAGACAAAAATTTGTCCCCAAAATGTTTTGGTCTGTCCGACTCCTGTTTCAAAACTTGTATTATCCCCACAAGTATGGCTAGGTTTGATGTGTGTGGTAACTACGGTCAAAGGTACTAAGATAAAACCTGAGGTTTTGGATGGCCTCATACCAGGGTTAATATTTACTCTCAATCTATAGCACAATTCGAGTGAGGTTAAACACAGAGGGGCAACCTGCTTTATACCTGATACTCCCTTAGCCACGTTTCTGTCACCCTGATGTTGACGGCGTCATTGGAGTTTCTCAGCCATTCACTGCATTCCATCAGGGGCTGTGATCATGACAAAGCAATTCAATTAGAATACAAGTCGGCAAGACATTCTACACTCCGGGACCAATGCTCTCAACATGAAGTATGCGTTATCCTTCAGGGTGTCACTCGGCAACACTATGGCTTTTTCCCTTACAGTGAATACCCAGGCAATATGAACCCTAGCTTTCAGGACAGTTCTAGTGGGAAGTTGTTTGTTTTCAAAAAAACAAATAAGGCGCTGTAAATCAATGCCACATTTTCATCTCTCAAAAAAGACGGGACAGCTAGCCCTACACACTGACTGGGTTTTGAAGTGCTGAATTCATCAAAATACTGAAACTTCTCTGGTACTGGATAGTTTTAGGATAAACATGGTTGAATCAGTCCAAATATCAATCTATAGTTTGTCAAAGATTTAACAGGCCTAAAGTAACCTAAGTGGAGTCAATACAGTTGGCTAATCCTCTGGGTCAATTTCACTTCAACATACCATGGGTACCGAGCGGGTCCAAGAGAGGGCATAATTTTCCTGGCAATGGAGGCTCCTTGGTTGGGAAGTGCACTTTGCTGGTTTACGAACGAAATACAAACGTTGCTGTCGCGTCACTACCAACAAAATGAACACTCCCCCAAACCAAGGCTCTTTTCAACTGATGGGGAGGGGGGGTGCTTCTGCTCAAGGTGGATATGTTGGGCTTCTCAGGGTGTTTGTGCAACTGCAGTCCATCATATTGTGCACCTCATCAAACTGGGGTGACACAAGAAGGCTAGCCAATCAGGAGAGGTGCTTGTTATATTTGTTTACCTCTATGTAATGACAGTAGATTACAAATGGCCGGGATGGTGCCAAGAATTTGAACAGTGCTGTGAAAATTGGTAGAGGTTGAAATCTACATGCCATCACCAACCTGGAAATGTAACAAAAACATTCATCTACATGTAATATAAACATTACACAAGGCGCACGGATAAACCTTTGATGTACAGCATGCTATTTTAATGAATACATAAAATCCCACCATTTTGAGGGTTTACTTAATTACCTATCAAATGTACAGAACAATAATCAGCAAGTTCCAAACAATTTTCCTATGGCCTGCACAAAGGCAGTGTTGGGAAAGCTACAAGCTGACATCTCTTAAGGTGTTACTACATCGTACTCAAAACAAGCAGTGACCATTTCTAATGATACAGTGGAAAATAAGATTTATTTGGAATTGCTCTCCGTAAAATCTTCTGATAAATCTTACAAAGTTTTAAAGCAGCTACTTGCACAAAAAAAAACCCAAAACATCACCAACGCAGTACAAAATATAAACAAAACCAAAATACGAAAACCATAGCAGGTGAAAGACACTTCACAGTGACAACTCGGTCGTTCCATGCCCACACTACGCTATCTGCCTTCACTTACGCGTCCATCTTTGTGTTATGGAGGAGATCTCGGACTCTATTCAAGTTTTCTCTTCTTCTTTGCTTCCTAGCTTCCTTCTCAGGATTCTGTCGATGAGGAAAAATGTACAAACTAAGGGATAAACAATTCACTTTGTTTCCTGTGATTCAGGAAATCCACATCTACAGAGTGAAGTGTAAACAGCTATAAGACAGAATATTTTACAAACATTTAATTTTACCAATTAAAATTGTTTAAATATAGAAAATACAAGATCAAGAGGTACCATTCACACAAGGTCTGAGGTCTTTGTTAAGTTAAATGAAATGTCGCAAAATTTTCTGAAATTGCTTTCATCTTACAAACCCAAGTATTTCCAATATTTACTTGAAAGTATAACTTTTTCCATTGCTTTTTGTTGGAGATCAAAATTTTTAATTGCTTTTCTTTTGGCCTTCACAGATATTGTCACATGTACTGTTTCCTCACTGTTTTCAGAGAAGCCCACTCTTAATGATGGAAATTTCTCTTTCCAAAAAAAAAATAAATCCCCCTATGTTGCTATGCAAGACACACACGTATGCAGTGTTTGGCAATAGTCACACCTTTCTGCAGTTCACAGCCCTACATAATAGTTGCTTACCACTGGAAATTTTCTCTTCTGTCCTTGAGTGGCTGTCTCTCCTGATTTACAGTCTGTTTCTACGGCAACTGGATCATCGGGAGCAGCACCGCAGTCTCCCACATTGGAGCTGTCGTCCTCCTCACTGCTTGACCGTTCCTCTTCTCTCTCCTGAGGCTTATGACCCTCGTCCCTTTGGCTTGCTCTACTGGTTATACTCTCCTTTGCAGTCCCTAATGCCCCCGAGCTCTCTGCACTGTGATCACAATGTTCCTCATTCTTGGGAGCCTGAGGTCTGTGGCTCTCTTCATCACAGGTATTCCGTTGTGGACAGTTACTGTCAACTGGTTCTTGGATATCAAGAAGGCTTATTTGGTCCAGTGGGAATCCATACAGTGTATCTTTGTAATCTGGAGGGAAATTGTACGCTTCGACAGCTAACCGCACTGGTACATGCTCTGAATGGATCTGAACAATCGTGCCTTTACCTGGGAAAAAATAAATAAGGATAGACTAAGTTAGTTACAGCACTTTGGGACTAGTTCGACACAGACTTGATGTATGGTGAGGTTACTAAAACCTTGTGACTTGAATTATTTCTTAAACAAGGCTTTTGTGCCTGGAATTCCAAACAGCCCGATTAGCCTAAACATGCCTACAAAGGACTTTTTCACAGAAGTTGCTCACATTCCAAGGGTTCATTGTAGGTTACCCACAGAAGAACCCTTTTTGAAACAGATGGGTGCTCTAGCTATTAAGTCTACCCTAGGAGTCATGCTATGGACCTGATAGACATGTTAGAAGAATAGAACAGAGTAACTCTGCTAAGCAGAGACCAAAATGCTACAAGCTCTTTACAGCCTGTGAACAGTTTCGTGTTTTATTTTTGCTAAGCCCATAGATCTGTTAAAAACTGAGAGCGACAATTTCTGTAGCTGAATATCCAGGTCTTAGATGGGAAGAGGGAAAATGGAAACTTTCTCTGTCCAAATGTAACCCCCGAAGGTGGCAGTACTGTTTTTAAAATGGCAGCACTCTCAATCCTTTACAAAAGAGACACGTCAACGGTGAAACAACCAATCAACTCCCCTCCTTCATCACTGAATTTCTGCTTAGTAGTCCCACCAACTACCTGCCATTCTCTCCATGACTGCTCCCAGCAGAAGCCCCTGACATGTCTCCATCATTATCACATTGATTCCGCTCTGGATGTTGGCAGCGGTCAAGATCTGGGCAAGGGTGTCGATGCGCAGATGACTGATGAAAAAAAACAATGATCACAACACTTTAATAAAAATATTGATCATCCAAGAGGCTGTCTTGAATAATGAAACAGCTTACCCTTTTAGAAACAGGGTTTAGGCCAATAACATTTAACCTCTCTTTTTGTTTTGTTTCTTTTTTTGGGGGGGGGAGATATGAAACCAGATGAGGTAACTGAAATTTTCCCAGTTTATCCAAGTTTACTTTGCTGTACATGTACATCGAGACAGCTCATGTCTTTGTATCAGACGCACACCAAACAATCCATATGTCACATTAAATTCTCTAGTTGATTCAGTTTTCCAGACACAAAATATTAAAAGCAGTTAATGCAGCCTAGCTATGTTCCTTGTCTGATGCATTTCCAAAAGCAATGTACACATGTAGCAACTGCATCATACTGGGGCATCATGACTGCCAGTTCCGAATTTCAAGCCACGAGAAATTCTCATGTTAACAAAGTATAGTCAATTAATGTCGGATTTTCTTACCTGAAAAAGCTGCAGGGAATGGGTTTTTTAACCCGCATATTCTTTAACCTTACAACTTTGATTTGACCCAGTACATGAACATTCACCACGGAAATAAAAAAAATAATTCTTAAATGAGCGTACATGTCATCCATGGCACAAATAAGGAAAATTATGTGTGCCTGCAGGTCATCTGGAGTCAAGTGGTTACCAAAGCAGGAAAGCCACTGCGGCGTCTGTGACTGATTTCATTCTTCCACTGTTGCCATACAAGCTGCTTGGAGCATAAGCCGCAGGGAAAATTTTCAGAGAATCAACGTATAAGCCCCAGCCTATATTCCGAAAGTTACGGTATTTCCATCACTTACATGTTTTTGGACGGTGCTCTTGATGAGTACATTTCACACAACAGCATGGTGTTTGGCCGGAAAATCTGAAATCTCATGAGATGCCTGACAGAAAAGGAAGAACTAATATCACTATGAAATGTCTTAAAAGTAAGTCAATCATTACCTCCTGAACTGACTCTGTTTAGACGCATTCAGTAAATGGATGCACTAATGCAGCACCAGGCTAACGCACCCAAGTTTGTCAGTCATGTAAAAAACTGATGGTGGGAACCAAATATTGTATGGGACTGCAGAGTGTCACAACATGGTTAACTGTGCAAGTCATCATGGACGCCAACTCAGCGAGCTAAACAAAGACAAAATGTGTGGATATGAATACTACAACATGGAAAAGGTCTTGTGAAAAACAAGGCCATGAATATACATGTACTCTGTGTTTAAAAAATGAGCACGGTGCTGTAACATAACATTTGACTTTAAGGGCTCCATGAAATGACAATTTGCTTTCTTAAATAGCACTGCGGTGAATTCATAATTAACATTTACATTTTATTCATTTCGGGAAAAACAGGTTACAAGGACAATGACTTCTTAGTAAACACAGCAAGAAACGGTTACAATGACTAACATGAATTCCAATCAGCTCCCGAAGGATCGCCCAAAAGAAATAAATTCAGTCAAAGGGGCTCCCCAGACTAATTGAAATACAAAAAACATACTAACTGACATAAATAAATTAACCAAATTAAATTGGATAAAGTTAACTGATAGAATAAGTTATTTGAATTTCATTTGCATAATTACCGATATATACAGTGTACGTATTAGAAATATAAAAAGAACAACACTTCATTATACTAAAAAGAAACAAGGGGATAAATACATGATTAGAAAGCCTGAGAGATGGGTTCTGGATTAAACAAGTGGTCACGTAAAGAGCGGAAAAGTTCATTTGGAGAGGGCAGAAGACACAAATTCTGGAGGCTAGAAGGAAGAGTGTTGAACAACCTGCGGAAAGAAACAAACAGAGAATATTTAAGGCAGTTGGTCCGACTGTACTGGTGACTGAAGAGCAAGACATCAGTTTTCCTTGCATTTGACTGGGGAAGGAAGGTAGAAGGGTCATCCGTGTGTCTGTGAAGGCATTTCACAACAAAAGCCATGCTCAAGTAGATTAACCTGTTGTAGATGGGTGGGAGATTAAGTTCCTGCAAACGTTGTTCACAGGAGAGGGAGTATGCAATGTTATACGGAAAGCATGATTTTGTAAATCAGCGCTGTACTGTCTCAAGGCACTGGATTTGATTCTTAAGATGAGGGAGCCAAACAGAAGTTGCATATTCTAAAACAGGCCTAAAGAGAGAAGAGAATAATTTAGGAAGTACACTTATGTTACGGGTTTTAACAGTGCGGTGAATGAAACCAGAAATTTTAGAGCATTTGGTTCTAACCATATCTACATGTTTGTTCCAAGTTAAGTCATCAGAAAATACAACTCCAAGGTATTTATAAGCGTGGGAAACCAGCAAGGGTTTATCAGAGCGTGTTAGACAGTAAGGTGTAAGAGACTGCTTCTTTGACGGGGTTATATGCATCACTTTGCACTGTACAAGGTTAGCCAAGTCCGCTGTAAAAAGATTGAATAGGACGGGACCAAGGACTGAACCTTGAGGAACACCAGATGTTACAGGTGTCCAGTCAGACTTGGCTCCTGAAAATATGCCTCAATCTTGCCTGTTGGTAAGAAAGTTACTCAGCCATTAAAGAAGATGACCGCAAATACCGTAATGATGTAGTTTCAATGAAAGGAGTGAACGGTCACATTTATCAAATGCTTTAGACCAGTCAAGACGGCATCAATTCTCGGAGGTTTAGGCTTATCCAGTGAATGGGCCCAAGTGTCAAAAAAATGGTCAGTTGAGTGGTGCATGAGCGCCGGGGTAAAATCCATGCTGTGAATCAGGGATAAGGCTATAAGAAGAATGATCGATCGAAGAATGATTGATATAAAGCGCTCTAACATTTTACAGGGAACAGATATCAATGAGATGAGCCTGTGGTTGGAAATAGAGGATACCATATCGTCATGCTTGAAAAGAGGAACAACATTTGCCATTTTCCAGCACTGTGGTACATCACCTCTTGAAAGACTCTAGTTAAATTTCCAGTTAAAGCAGGTACAATAGAAAAACCAGCAAGTTTAAGCATTTGTGGTGAAATTCCATCTATGCCTGGAGATTTGGAGGAGTTAAGACGATCAATTACTTTCAGCACATCACCCTCAGTGACTTGGAGAGTATGAAGAGAGTTAATTCCAAGGTGGGCTTCACAGTCGTCACTGGAGGGGACCTGGAATGTGGATTGAGCAGGTGTAAAGTTATTCTAGAAGAAATTGTTAAATGCATCAGCAAATGAGCTGGGGGAATCGAACTCTTGACCATTCAAATGAAAAGAATTGACAGGTTGGGATTTTCGTTGCAATTGCACAAAGGACCAAAATCATTTGGGATTTGATTTAAAATCTACAGCAAGGCCTTGAACATAATCATTGTACGAGTTCCTAACTAGCAGTTTGACATGAGATCTTAAAGTCTTGTATTTGTTCCATAGGTTCAAATTGTCCTTGTTCCTTATGGCTTGACAGTATGCTCTGTTCTTTTTCCTGGATGCTTGGACAATCTTGCGTGTTATCCAGGGGGACCTTCGTTGACCATTTGACAATGTTTGAGATGGCGATGGGCACTATATCCTTCACTGCAGCATGAACAAGGGATGTGAAGTTGTCCCATGTTTCACGTATGTCGGACTCATCATAGAATAAGTCCACAGGAATACACCGGAGCGTTGTTAGGAAGTCCAGTTTATCAGCCTTGCTCACTGGTGAAATGTCCTGTGTAGATCTGGGTGGCTTGATGAAGTAGTGATGTCAAAGCAGATAATATCATGGTCACTATTGCCAAGACTGGCACCACTGTGGATATTTTGTGTCCAGGTGGGATCATTGCAGAAGATGAAATCAAGCATAGAATCAGCGCCATTGGGGCTTCGTCTCGTTGGAAATGAGACAACTTGGGACACGTCCATGGATTTCACGGTGCTCAAAAAAGCTGCAGAGTGACCACTAAGATTAGATGGGTTGGGTTCATCAGAAGAGGCAGTACATGGTATCTGGAGGTTGAAGTCATCCAGGAGAAAGATGGCCTTGTACTGATGAGAACAAGGGAGGACATGATTAATGGAGTAGAAAAGTGCCTTGTTGAATCCAGTTGGTGAAGAGGGTGGACGATTGCAAGTTCCAAAAAGAAGCTTGCCTTTATTCTGCCGAAGGACAACTTGCACCCAGATCAGCTCACACTGTTTGTAGTTGGCCTGGATGTTGGGGGATGGTTCAAATTCAGTTTTCCTGGATGCCTCGAGATTTGATTTGCAAGCAAATAAGAAACCACCTCCATTGCAATTTCTGTCCTGCCGGAAACTTTGATAGTGAGACGGGTTGAGAACTTCGCCGTCGTGAATGTCAGGACATAACCATGTTTCAGTTATGAAGGCAAAGACAATGTTATCAACACTTAGCCTGATTTGAAGCTCAAGTGTCTTGTTGATGATGCTACGGGCATTTAGAAGAACACATTTTAGATGGGATTTCTTGATGGAGGGCTCGGATGGAGGTCCCGGATTGAGCTTGATATCGCCAGATTGAAGTAGCTGTACTTAAAAAGTACCTATTGAGTTACTAGGAGCAGCAGCTTAGCCAAATGCACAGGCATTGTGTCATTGCATAAGGTGGCCACGGTTCACTGAACAACCTCCCTTCTGTGGACAAAAATGGCCACTACTCCATGCGTAGAGAACTTGAAGACTCAGGCAGAAATCTGCCTTAAACTCCACAACCTTGCCGAATTATTGGCTAAAAATTGTCCAGGAAGGTCTCTGCCATAAAATGATGGTGAAAGCAAAGTTTCTCACAAACTGGTGCTCTGACAGCATGAAATGAAGAGCAGAAGTAGAGCCACAAAAAGTGTGACTGCCATCGGTTGACCAGAAGCTTACTACATAGTTACAAATTACAAAGATCTTGTGTCACAAACTTACATCTGACTATAAACTAATACCAGTACATGTTCAGTGGGGTTTGAAGGAGTCCATCCCTATGCAAAATGTGCCCTTTTAGAATTGGGAGGATTTGTTTGCTAAATCAAGATTTCTATGTTCGTATAAACCCTACGATGTTTGGTCACATAAAAAAGAGCTATCATGGATTTGTTGAACAGAGCAGGACATAAAATAGGCCATGGATAGACTGTTAAAGAAGACTGATCTACAGGAAATTGAAGAGTTGGGATGAAAAGGAGAGAAGTGAGTGAAATTTGAGTATCAATTCCAGAAACTTTACAAATTTGACATTCAGATGATAAATATCAAGTACTGTACAGCAACCTATGACACAAACGTTTTTTCTATAAATACTTTTTCCTCATTTTGTGGTACTTACTTGTCTCTTTTCCTCTTGACATACTTGGCTTGAGAGTAAATTGTCTTCTCTTTGAAGCTGGAACTGTTTTCCACAAGCTGTTCAACAATTGCCTGAAGGAAGGACAGAGCTATACTAAGTCACAGCTTGGTTAACTCAAGCATTCTGTTATTTAAGGGGACCACTTTGATTCAAATCTAGTCAACAAATTAGAACCAACACCCAATGTGAGTTACTAACAAACTGATCCTTTTACTTTGGAACTTTTTCACATATTATGGGTTTTAAAGTTAACATCAGCTCTGTAAAGAAAGGTAAACTGGGTCAAACTTAATCAACAGCAGGTACCTTAGCCAATAAATTTTATTGTATTGATTTGAGTTGCGTCATGACATAATCCTTTACCAACTTACTGACAATAAACATGGGATCAATTTACATATCATTAAAAATCACACCAATTAACTTTCTTTTGTGTCCTTTTCTAGCTTTTTCCACACATTCTATCTACCTGTACTTTTGAGGGGTTGTCTAAAAAGGAAAAATAGAGACAAGGTACTCAAAGTAATTTTCACGAGGAAAAGTTAAGATGAAAGTCAAGAAGCCTACATGCAGTACAGTGTATGGACACAATTCTGAATGGTCTGATTTATCGGACACAACCACACCATATGAAGTTACGAACCATATTCACTATCTGTATGACCTATTGGCAAACCTCAGCACAAACCCTTCGGTTTATGATGTATATCATTTATCTGGATTAATAAAGGAAGGTTCTGCTCATCACCTCTCCATGTTTGCCTGTATTCTTGAGAGCTTGTATGTCTTCATAGCTGAGTTTCTGTGAGCATTTATCATCAATCAGGGTCCGGTTGTCAGTTCCACCCTCTGAAAATGTAAAAATAAAAAATGCAGCAAATGAAACATTCAAAATGCTTGAAATACAATGAACTCTCATCAGAAAGCGCATACTTTCAACTTTCCTTAAAATAAAACACCTGATACTTAGAAATGCCATTCTTTATCATTCTGAGTTAGAAGCAATTCTCTTGGATTTGGCTCAAGATTCTAAGGATCAGCAAACAAACAAGAGGAGACAATAGATATGATTATACTTGCATTTACATCAGCCCTCGGTGTTTGTGTATGTTTTGTTTTTCAATTTCTAATATTTCTGAACTTTTAACATCTAGAGAACTTCTAGATTTCCACATTCTTTCACTTTATCAAGAGCGATTCAATAAGGGGCACTTTGGTAAGTTGACAGTGAAATGACAAAAACTACTGACCCCTGGTCTCTTCTTCTTCGTCATCCTGGGATACCAGCTGAACATTGTGGCCACATACATCCCAAGTTGTCCCATATGGCTTGCCAATTGCTTCATCCAGGTAGAAATGCTTCTTATCCAAATGCACCTTTCTGAATAGTGAACAAAACGTTTCTCAGTTCTGTGTACATTCAAATCTTAGAATCTTCATTTGTATTCTAAACCCATTTCTGCGTTTAAGGGCAAAACATCATGGACATAGGCCCGGTATGCCTGCTGCTAGCCCCAGACTAGGGTCAATCTACTGGACATGTATCGGTACCTCCGTCTTTATCCTTGGCCCCACAACTAACGCCCCGAAAAAGTGAGGACTTTGTGAAAAATTTTCCAATGACTGAGGACAATTTTTCATATGTAGCTTCTCTAACCTGATCTGGTCATTAAATCACCACTTGGGGCGATTTTCTGACTGTTTCTGTCTGCGATATTTTGGTCTCTATTTTGTTGTCTCAACACAGCTCTTCATTCACTCAATTTAGTCTCGATTGTTGAACAGGTTATAAACACAGTCGGGATCTGTTTGTCTGGGAACTGGACAGCACTGAAGATGTAAGTCCCCAGAGCGTGGTGGTGTTGTAGAACATTAAACAAAAGCAAACCAAAAAGCATGTATTTACAATGCTTGGGATCGAGTGTGAACTCATCAGTGTTGTAGTCAAGACCATTTATGACCTTCACAAAACCACACAAGACCAGAACAAGACCAACAAACATCTCTAGTCTGAAATAAAGTCACAAACTATTCGAATGAACTGCAACAAAAGCATTCCTTTGTCATTGTTCTCACTGTTACCTGTGACTGGGCTTGTGCATGGTCTTGTGTCTGGTCTTGTGCATGGTCTTGTGCATGGTCTTGTGTCTGGTCTTGTGCATGGTCTTGTGTCTGGTCTTGTGCATGGTCTTGCGCATGGTCTTGTGCATGGTCTTGTGCATGGTCTTGTGTCTGGTCTTTTGTCTGGTCTTGTGCTGGTGTCGATGCCAACACTAGAAATCATTGCCGCATGCATGGCACTACTGGTGCATATTCGCTCGTCCAATCCCCCCTTTATATGTACAACTGGCATGTGACTCATAAATATACCCCACGGCTGATTCAATAGTTCATCATGTTCACAGCATTCACACGTACACTGACAACAAGTGAGTAAGCCTAATTGCAGAATATCCCACCACTCTAAAAAACGACCCCCAGTCCTGGAAGGACTGGTTACATGGGTACAAGGTGAAAATCCCTTGAGAAGAGTGTGACACTTTGACCTGTACCTGGCTATGAGTATAAGGTTGACCGTGCGGGATGGCGGAGTAGGCCTAGGCATGCTAGGCCTACTTTGTGATTGAGCTCTGAGAAGGCTTCATCACAGGTGATGCTACGCCCCAACTATAGCATCAGTCCCAACTATAGTTGGGCCCGTCCCAACTAGAGTGCTACAGTTGGGCCTTCCCAACTACAGCAGAGAGGTCCTGTGTGCATGATGAACCCAGCATGTGCCAAAGTCATATTGTTTACAAATGTCATGTCACTGGCCATAGGGCTAGATGAACAGATAAAGTGCCACATTTTAGATGAATTGTGTCAAGTGTGAGACACATTGACTTGGATAATGTTGAGACATCTCCCACAGACATTGGTCAACAATAGTTGGGCCAGCCCAACTGTAGCTACAGTTGGGACTGTCCCAACTTTACATGTAGTTGGCACTTACATGTAGGCCTATGCTATAGTCAGATAGTTGGGGCATAACAGTCATGACAGTGATACATAGTCACTGATAAAACAGCAGTTGTGATCAATGTGTTTATCTTGTCGCTGTCTACTTTCATTTTTCAAGACCAAACAGATCCTGACTGTGTTTTTCACATACTGTGTAACCTGAAAACAATATCACAACTGGTAAAGGCAAATTCTGAACAATCGTCAACAACGTCAATGCTCGGCATGTTGGCTACATCATGTCCATATAAACCTAGTCTAGACATTATGATATGATAGATAGTGACTTTCAACGCTTCCTTACCTTTTCCTCCAAACCTGATACAATCTCAAACTTTTCCCTTTTTTCAGAATCACATTTTGGCCTTGCTTGATAACATCAGAGGATGCCATTTCGGGAAAGTTGACCAACTATCTTTCACTGAGTGTCTGGTTTGCACTTCACGTGCTCTAACTATCTAACGCAACACGGCGATGCATTCGTTTGTTTGGTTGTACATAGTTTCTCCTCTCCAATAACGGCATGCGCGCGGCGTATTCTTTCAAAAACTTGGCGCACGTCATGATCAGGGGTGATGCAAAATGACCGATGATCCAGAGAGGCAAGCTTGAAAAAAAATAATCGTTTTTCTTCTTCGTTTCTCCGTCCCAGGTGAGAATTGAATAGAAAGATCTGATTTAATTCGAACACGGACATTAGAATTTTTGCCAGATGGGGACCAGAATGATGTAGTTTTCATAAAGGTTATCAGTTCACTTAATTTCAAAAAATTTTAATGGAGTTTTGACCAAGTTCGGTTAACCTACAACTGGCCTGTCAATAGCCACCAATTGGTCTTGTATTTACTGCTTGTTTGGAAGGAATTTAATTATCATCTTGCAACCGGACGGTTCTTTTTGGAGTGGACCATTATTTATGAGATTGACAACTACATCTGAATAAGAGTGATAAAAGCAAATATCTAAGAACGTTTCACCTCACTTACAACCCTTATATTTGCGATGGGTCTCAACAGTTTAAATTTAATTAGGGGGCCTATACAGGTGAACAAAGGAATCGAGTAGAGCGAAATTTGAACCTGCGACCTCCGGAATACTGTACCGGTGCTCTACCAACTGAGCTATCCAATCATGCCCACAGAGCCGCTAATAAAATAATATGTATGCGTGAGCTTACGTTTCGGTGTGCGACTGTACGCACGCGTCATTGTTTGGGACTGCCGACTGCAACTTTCATACTTTGTGCATAAGGCAACCATGCCCCGAACTTTTTTGCACACCGTAGCCTCCGCAATTAAAATCCCCTTGAAAAAAAAAACAGGATCGACCGCTTCCAAGCTCAGCTTTCATCAGCCATCAATTTTCGTTCACCTTTCGCGAACTCTTTCCAATAACATTTTATATGACCTACCCTTTTTTCAGGGAAGTGAAATATCTATCCGTGCTCATGTTCTCCATTTTAGGTTATCGGCAGAGCCTGCAATGTACTCTGCACATAAGACCGATTGGGCAGGTGCACTTAAAAATGAACTCTTCACCTTCCATACCCACCCCAAATTTTCCGGGAATAATTGGATGGGACAAGCACACCAATTCGGTGTATCGACTTGTTCCACCCACTTCTGTTCTCGCCTGTTTTCATACTTTTAAAGTCGTCTATTTTTAATACAAAATCACCGTCACTGACAGATGGAAACGACAGCCAAGGCAAAAGGAGGACGTTATTACTGGCGTAAAATTAGAACGGGACACCAACAAGCAAATAAACCAGAACTTTTTGTTTTGTTGGTCAATTCGTGACAGGAAATTTTGTTCGAAGATCAATACGTTTACTGCAAACGGTAACATAGCCGTTTTGATCGCATCAGAATAATCAGTTGGGGGTCATGAAAACGCACTAAGAGAACAAGGAAGAAAAGAGTTCCAAGCCTGGACACCACGACGATACACAACGACAGGAAACACTAAGAAATAGGTCGGATAAAATCTTTATAAAATGACCTGATATCTTCCATGCTAAATTTGCCCCTTTTTTTGACATGTCATCGCGGCTTTTTGATGGCTGATATGTCACTGCCGAGAAACGTTACCGATGTTTACGTCTCATTGTTCCCTTTAGGAAAAATGACCCCAAGAAAAACATTATTACGATAATACTAATTTATCATTGGATCATTCATTGTCATTAACAGACTGAAGTTGTCATCGTCAACGCATGGCTTCAAGTGACTGTCCACGTGTGAGAGATAAACGGATCATTTATAGAATCAGCGACAGCAGGCGACATCTTGTTGGGCCTTCTCGACTCGGCTCTCTGGCGACTCTATACCATCCAAATATACCCTATCGGCCTACTGACCCCACACCGGTCCACAGTCACCTTCCTGAACTCTTGGACCAGGACACCACCGCCAATGATCTCCCCCACGACCCACCCGAGTGCGCAGGCTTTGTCGCTGCTGGGAGCTGGGGGGCATCTGCGCCGGAGACGGACGAGGTGAATCCTCGCCCGCACCTGAACGGAGACCATCCCATCCTTGACGCCATTATTGAAGACAGCCACCACCAGACTTCCGACTTTAAAGATCATAAGGAGTTAGCGAGCTCGTACGGCGCGAACCCTTCTGTTCTGGATCTAATTCCGGAATTACAGAGACCCCAGTCTTGTTATTACATTAATTCAAGTTGTAGCCCGGGATCCAGCACCACTATTGGTTCGTCTGGCTGGATTGACGGCTTCGACTGGGCATTTCCTTCCGTGGGGATGTCCAAGCAGTGGTCGGGCCACCTGAAGAGCGTCCTACTGGATGTTTTCCAACATTCAAGTGACAGCAACTTCCCCACTATCTTACAGCCACGGTTCAAGAAAACTCCAGGCACGTCAGCTGCTCTATTTGTTCCCAGTGTCATGGCATCGATTTGGCGACAGTGTTCAGAGGAGAATGAACCGACGAGCCCCCAGGTTACTCGCGCTGCAGAGCACCCCATTGTCATTTCGAATAAGGATTACGCTGCACCTGTATCAGGTTCCAAAACCAAAGGAATACCAATGAACAAGGGAAAGAATGCCAAAACGGCCGGTCTTTCCGCTTCAGTGAAACGAACGCCTGCGTACGGTGGCGCTACAGTACAGACAAGCTGCAGCTCAGATACCGAGGGGCACAATCATGACATGGCGGGCGGTAGGCTGGCTCGCTGGCAGGGACTGCTCAGGTATGTCCTTGTAGGTCTGAAAAAGCCCCAGCATTCTGACGTGGAGCTACAGGACATGAGTTCGTTCTCACCAAGAGCTGTCTCCGCTCGCTCGACCGATCACCAAAAAAATCACCAAGAGTCGGCAGAAAGTCCACTCGGCGAAGTGACGTTTTTCCACTACAACACTGACGGGACGGAGTACTCTTGCACCAGGGTTCCTGTCACTGTTGCCCCGAAAGCAAGCTCGCATCAACGCAGTGAAACCAGCGGAGTGACGGAAAGCCGCGAGAGCAATACGTCTTCAGAAATGGAAATCAGCTCGGACATCATTGAATGGGACAGTGAGGAAGAGGATAACGAAGAAGTAATCGAAGCAGTGTTGATCCAGGAGGTCGATCACATTAACTGTGCTTGCACCAGGTTCTCCAACGATTCTGTGGAGGATGGTTACTCAGAGGAGGCAGGGTCGAGTAGCTTTATCAACCTGCCTTTGACGAGTGAGTATCCAGGTAGTACAATCCCTAACGGTAATATCAACGGCAACTGTCTTGAAAAGGACAACTTTGCCGCCACCCACAGCGTTAAACGCAGGGCAAGTTCCATCAAGAGAATACCAAAGATCATTAAGAACAAGAAGAAGAAAGTGAGTTTTGCTGTTCAGTCTCTGAATCATAAACACAAACCCAAAATACTTGGATGCAGTCTTAAAGATGACGATAGTGACCGGAGTTGGCAAAAGCGACCAGGAAAACACCGAAAGTGGAGACGAGGTTCACATTCCACAGAAAGGGCTGAAGAATTTCGCGACGAACCATTTGAATGGCCTGATAATTACATCCAAGTCAAAGTTCCTCCGAGATGGACTCCTCCAAGAAGCGACTCTGAAGTGGACGCCTACATCAGTGTGGCCTCCAGGTATGTTCCCAGCGTCTACGTTAAGCTATACATCCAAGTGCCTATGGTAACACACCTGTGTGAGTTGAAGACACACCTGCTCATCTGCGTCTTCAGATCGTTCTTCACCACCACCGAGGGACTTTACATCAACTGGGTCATGTCGCTGCAGTCCCACGTCTACAACTTGCTCTACATGGGGGTGGCCAGGGTGCGATTCAGGAGGGAATCCAACGGCAGGCCCTGCAGGGCATGCCTGCTGCTGTCCAAAGATGCCACGACCCTGGTGCGTCACAAACGGTGCAGTTTGTTGAGCACGGTGGCCGACATTCTCCAAATTGCCCCGGAGGAGTTGCTCGTGATGGAGAAAGGACGGATGGACCAGAGCGACCCGGTATAGGCATGTGTGGATTGACTGGAGCCATGCAACTCTTCGAGCACTCATCCTAATCGTCCATGCTTCTCTTTGATATGAACACATTGCATCATCACTCAAGGAGTTAAATATGAATCCATTGCATTATTAAAAAGTCGACCTGAAATATTGAAGGTACCTTATTATTTGATCAGAAAATAGTCAACTTAAAAAAGCGAGACTTAGATTCCTTGAAGCAAAGCGATGTATATTAACAAACTCTCACATTTTCACCTATAAAATGAGTTATTATTCAGAAGATCTAAATCGTGAGCTCTTTTAATTTTTTTTTTATTTAGTAACAGAAGGGACAGGCTTCGTAAGATCGAGACAGTGAAAGTGTACAGGGATTCTAGTTTTCATTACCACAGCTATTGTCTTATGAATCGTCTTGATTGGGATTCGCGTAGTTTCGTTTAAAATGTTCGATGTGTGCACATTTCCGTAAACAGTCAAGCAGTTAATTTGCAGGGGATAATGATTGGTGCAGGATTTAGGTGTTTTGTTTTGTTTTCAAAAGAACAGCTAGCGAATTTTATTTCCCATTTTATAATGTCTGTCGTACCCCATTCAACTGGACGAGTCCCAATTTGGACAAACAGGGATTTTTATGTTTTTCTTTTGCTTTTTTGTTTAAAATGTACATATTTTATCACAAAAATGTCTAATCTATTTAAATAAGTGTATTTGAGGTTTCATTTTAATATATCGAGAGGACAGTCAGTATCGCATTATTTTGTGTTTTTTTTAGGTGATCTTTTATTCCGGATGAAACGTCATTTCAAAATGAACTGATTTTTATCCCCTGCCTAGCTTTCTTATTTCCCCAAAATATTTATTTGCTCACATGTAAATTACAAAATCAAAATGGTCTAATGGTGGATTTGATACAAATGGACTGCTTCTGATATTCACCAGCCCGCAGTTGTACTAGTAATATACCCGGCCATTTTCTGTGTGTGTGGCTTTGTTTTCCTTTACAGTTTTCATTATTACTGATATAACTTTATTGCTCAGCACTTTTCATATTGAACGACATTGTGACTGACGTTCAGTAAAGCGCAAAAGATAACATTTGTTTCAGGAATTATTGGGAATTGTGGGGAGAAATGTCGTTGATGCAGTGACCATGTTTTCGTAGAATTTCCAACATCTTTTTCTTCTGGAATATTCCATCAAACTAATCACCATATTGAAACTTTATACCATTTTCTTTAAAAGCACAGAAAATCCGGACAAAAATAATAATTGACTCATCCCTGGAGTTATCTAGAATTCCCTTGAAGTTCCGCTGAAAATGAATTCCCGTGGTTTTCCGTCCTGTCTTTTTATAGCCCCCAAAAGGGAGAACAGACTTAATTCGTATTAGGCACACTTGTTCAATTTGTGGAAACCGAGATTTTAATTATTTTGTTTTCGACTACATTCTTTAAATTCTCGGAAAGCAGGATAAAAATGAAAGTCGATCCGATGGCCAAGGAGAGGATTGTACAATTTAATATGCCCTCACTCAAATTGACTGTGTAGCCCACTTGAAGTCGCTTTAACTTGACACACCTTGTGCCGACCTCTATGCTCTTCTAAGTATCGTGTACTCTTGCCAAGGCTTCGGTGAAAATTTGCACAAATAAGGGAAAACGTAAGGTCGAAGAAAGGTGCGAACTCTTGAACTCAATGCATTTTTCACTCGGTATGATAATTTTTCACTGTCAATGGGACAATTCGTCTGAGATAGGCCTATTAAAAATGCAGACATGTCAACAGACACTGCCAAAGCCGTGATTCTAGTCTGACCATAATTTCACCGAGCTGCGTCTGGGTTGGCTTTTTGTCATCCAGAATGGAAAAGAACTACCCAAATCAGTGTTGTGTGACAAGATCACCCCGAAAGAAATTGAACAACGTTGTAGATCAGGAAATTCCGAAGTTAGTTTCTCTCTGAGTTTGGAGATCTATTGCCAAAATCTACACCTTGAGGTCATCTGACTCGCGACCTTAAACTAACTGAATTTCCTTCACCGCTGGGGCACGTCTGTAACTGAACCACAAAGGCTGATATTTCTGTTTTCTAATTGAGAGTGTCTGGATGGATTTGTTACTTCTACAATTTGGACCTCAATTTGTTGTATGGGGTGGAAGAAAATGTGTTCCTTTGCTGATGGTTTGCAAAGGGATAATTCTACTGACCATAACGTTCTCTCCCACTGTTTGCAGTATATTTTTTCTAGAATAATTCAACTCAATAATGCTAACAAATTGTTTTCCAATCACACTTCCAACCTAGTTGTCAGCCTAATAGACACGGATTGTAATCCTAGAATGCCAAAGAAACCGACGAAAAAGTTACTGCTTAAAATTAGTTTGTCACAAAAAAAAAAAAGAATCTTGCACGAGACACGTCTTGTAAAATAAATTGTTTGCAATGTCTCAGTTGAAACAGCAAAGTTTGTAAAACGATCACTGAGGGAGGTGAACTAACCTTCAAGAGCCTGATCTCCCCTATACATGATCTATGTACTGTTTTCTATTTGTTCACAGAATCAGACTTTTCGAAGCTGAAGAAAAAGAGAGGAGTTAAAATGCAATGTACGCTGAAGTGAAAGATAAATTAGATTTCCTTGGGCTACCCCCTTTAAAATATTATTGTCATTCAAGTCAACATTCCCTTCAAGACATGTACCTGTAATTTCTCAAAATCTGTACATCCGGGGCCTTGATCTTAACAGCCAAATTGGCGCTGATTAATGTTTGTGCCACCAAATACACCTTCCAAAAAGGGAACAAATATTCGGGGTAAAATCAACTTGACAAAACAAATTTTATCAGATAACTGTTGTATTGAGTTGACATGAAATAACTGAGGTCAAAAACAAGTTTAAAACCATAAAATTAATCTGCAAATGTACTGACAGGTTTCACAGAAAAGGGGGTGATTTAATCCCTCTTTTTTAACCCTCAAGGTCCTCAATCCTCCAACAGTGTGAGAATTGAAGACCATTAGGGTGAAGACATCGATCAACAAAAGATACTTTAAAAATATTTAGTTCTCATCTTTAAATAAAATAGACCCTTGGAGGCCAGCATGTGTTGCCCCAGGGTTGGCATCTTTTGTCCATCATTATCATGCATGCTTTCAAAACGAGGGTGCAGTGAATGGATGGACTATCATAGAGAAAATTTCAACTCAGAACCCTTGCTAATCTCTAGGTGCCAAGATTTATTAGGGTGAATATGTTGGACCACGACAACTGTCATTTTTCACCCAGGATGCCCTTCAACTTTGTGAACTCACTCACAGGAGCAGGCCCTGCACCCATTCTGAACTTTTCTATGGTAAGAAAGTGCACACAATAGCCCAGCAGGGTTATGTAGGCTGGCTGTATTGAAGTTCATTGAGCATTGCGACCTAAGAACTATTATTACCAATCAGGGTAAAGCATAGCACTAACGCCTCCACTGACATGACTATGAGTATATAACAGCAGTCAAGAGACTGTAAAAAATGACAGGAATGCAGGTAAAAGGTTTATTTGCCTGCGCTCATGTCAGGAAAATGTAATTGTTGGTTTTAATTCAGGTGCGGAGATACCATGTACATGTGCCAGATTTAAAAATGAGGAAAACTGCTATTCATACTATTATACATTTGACTATAAAAGGAAATATGATTACTATTCCAATCTTCATTGGCCATCTTCGGTTGAGTTGAATATATCACTATGTTGAAAATTCCTGATGTACAGAAAGTCCAAAATTTATGCCGTATTATAAACAACATTCGGGTTTGTAATCGTGCACACTAAATAAACTGGCCAAAAGAGTGGTTCCAATGGTGTGATTCACTAGAACAGTACAGGTATTTGATTCCAACTTTCAAAGTTGAGTTGATTGAGTTGACAAATTTTGTGCGACTTTCTACTCCTCTTAAATATATACGAAGTACATGTATTTGACATTGTTGTTATTATTCAGAAGTGCCCTTTTTAAACGTTGAAAAGTCTTACAGGTAATTCTTAACAATTGAAAGTGCTGTTGACTTCACTTACTGTGATGTCATTCGTGGGAAGACGTTTTCATTTTTGTAAATCAAGGTTGCTTGTTGACTTACTGCAGAAATACACAACGATGAATCACTAAAGAAAAAAATATGACAGCAAAACATCTAACATAATGGGGGGGGGGCTCAAATAGCTGCAACATGGAGCTTTCTGCCCAAGATGACATCACAATTTTCCTCATGAATACAGAAATTAATTTGAGCATATGACCAAAAAAAAAGACACCAAAATAACAGTTAAATGGCAGAACAAAGATTGAAAATAATCTTAAAATGGACACAAAGGTGCAGTTTTGAGGACTGCATTAAAGAAATTACATTGCATAGTCCCTTGACACCAATACCAGGCCATTTCTAAACATCCCATATCATCTGACCACACTGCTGACTTATGAAAGTTCTGCTCTTAGCATGCCTTGCATTGCATGACTACATGTACAGTTTACATGTGAACGGGTAAATATATATAGTTTGTACATGTACAAGACTGGGCAGACCATGTGCATGCACGCATAGCAGGACACACACTGAGTTCTGTGTGCTTGCTCTGTGATTTGCTGCAGTACCGTATGGTGGCTCATTGGCAGTGTGTTGTGTGCATGGGCCCAATTCTATCCCCCAGCCAAAGAGCTGAAGAGGCCACCTTGGACAACTTACTGCCACATCCAACCAACCCCCGACAGGAGTTTCACTCATCTCAGTTCAAGATCTATGCTAATGAGTGAGATCACAGTAGTGGTGGTTCCACAGAGGCCGGCTCTCACACAACGTGTTTTAAACGGGGATCCCATGAGGCATGTCAACTTTAATTGTTTCCAAAGGATTCAATCAGCGACTGTAGAAACTTAACTTACAAATCCAAATCAGTTTCATTTGATGGAATGGTTAAGACACATGCACAAGCTGAGCGGTGCAATGAAGATGCCAATGATGTGATTCTTACAGGCAAAAGTGTTTTAGTCTCAAAACAACTCAACAACTCATGAACCCCCGTTGTGAGGGTCGTCTGCATGAAACAACAGGCACCTCTCTGGGTAACAGTCTCCTTTGCAAATGGCAACTCTTGCTCCAGCAGGATTCTACAGATCTTTATCCAGACTTTAAATAATGCCCATGTGACCAGCACCCTACGATGACAATCAGCAGGCACTCCGTCCTCTATCACTATCACCTTGGCCTTCACTGACAGTGCACTGTCAAAGTGTGTATACTGAAAGACTCATTTTGACACATAAATACTTGTCGTTATGTCATCTTGATGCCACTGGCTGAGGCAAATGTTGAGCTGAGGGAGCGAAGACTAACCACTCTCTTTCGTTGGTAAAAGTGAAACCCATAGGGCTTATATTGTCTATAGATCATCACGACAAACAGGCAGAAGGTGATAGCTACCAAGCTGTACCCAAATGGAAGACCAAATTCAGGGACCTGTTGGAAGAAGATCCAGGTACAAAAACCAATAAGGTTCAACTTCACTTGTTGACCAGCAATCCTAGTCGCAATCTTTTTGGGCTAAAGGTAGACTTTGACCCGAAAGCCCTAAACAATTTAACTTGGGCCTGGGTCACATTCCAGGCAAGTGAAAAAAAAATCAGAGGTATGAACACTTTACTGTAAGCATTCAGCACTTCAAATTTTCAAAGTTGAGAACGTTTTTATTCTGGCCAATTTTGCTACAAATTCTTCACGATGCCAAATCCACATTGCGTTTGCATTTAGCAAAAACTGGGAACTAGCCTTCCATTTTCATACTTACCTCGTCCTGGTGAAATGACTTATGGACTTGTTTCTCTTTCCAGTGAATCATATATGTAAACAGTGTCTCATAGATGGGCATGATGTCTCGAAGGGCACTCTGCAAAATAGTAAGATAAATAATACACTTGTATTTAGATAATTTGTTTACTTGTGTTTTTGATATTATTCCCCATTTGTAAAAATCAAATTTACTGTTCGATAATTTTGCTTTATTTCAGTCTTGTGTCACTCAGTCTGCTGTCATACAATTTTAGTCATATACTTTGAATTACTTATCTCATCGTTTGATAATTGTGATTGTCTCAATAATTTATTTTGGCATGTTTATATTTGCCTAATGTCTCATGATTCATCTACAATTTATTTCTTCACATTATCTCTGCCAATTAACTGTTTTCATTGCCTTATATTGCATGCGATTGTAATGAACTGGCTCTTTCTTGGCTTATGTAATAACTGCTGCGTTGCTCTTCATCTTCTTTTTTCTCTTAATTTTTCTTCTTTTGACTAGTGGCATGAGTTCCTTTTCCATGGCCTCATTTATTTTTCCATCCCTCGATGCTTACTTTCATCTGATGTACATTGTAGTTTTGTTTGTCTAATTGTTATTTTGTCACTGTTAAATGTTCGGTTTTAGTTTTTGTCAAGGCATCTCCATATAAACCCTTGGCTTCAGAAGATAACCCATAATCGCTGCTGACTTCATTGATTCTTGTCCCCAATCTATCGAGGTGTATAATATTAACTAAATGTATATTTAATTTATTCTGTTGTATTGTATTGGAATCTTTGGGCATTATGGAAATAAATGTTGCTTGATTGATAATCCCGGCCAATTAAAACATGTATGCAGCGTATTACGTACATATACACTTATGTGTGTGTGTCATGCGTGGCCTGTTGAGTAGACAGACAACATTGTTGAGTCTGTGACTTCCGGGCTCAATTTTTTGGGGGTTTTTTTTTGGCCGTTTTGGACGATTGGGAGGGGAGAGAGCCTATAATATGTGCTAATGTAGGATAATGAATATGCAAATGTACTGAGGACAATAATACCAATCTATGTCCGTGCAATAAGCAATTTGCAAGTTAAATTTGAATACACTCTATTACACTGAGTTCTTTAAATTCACGTGAACATAACAACTTGAATTCTCCACACTAAAACCACTGTTGCGACCCCTCGCGATTTAGGGCAAGCTTTTGCTTAGTTACATAAGAGACGCCTTGCAACAATACACTGTTCTCAATGGATAAGAAGGGCACAAAGGAACCAGTCCATTCCAGAGATGGTGGTCGCTATGCCAAAGCTTGCCCCGAGTCATGGGGTACAGCAACAGTGTCTTTAGTCTGGGGAATTCAAATTGTTACATTCCTGTGCAATCAGACAACACAGTGTACCAGATTTTATTCAAACTTAACTCGCAAGTGACTTATTCATTTATATCTGACCAATCCTGGCTTCTCTGAGTAACACATGATTACGTAGTTGACTAATCATAAAAAGGCGATGCTCTCCTTATATTCATCACACAAATCAGTCCCTGGGGTTGATTCAAATTGTGTGGGGAATGATTGCATAATGACAGTAATGCCTGAAGAATTCTTGGGAGCCCTCAACTCTGCCTCGGACAAAACTGGGAACTGACGTTACTTTGACCCTCAATACCGAACCACCAGTATAACTTAAGCATAATATATAGCCTGTTTATTAAACATGACCAAGTGACCAATGGAGTCCGTTTTTTTTTGCAAGGGCGAATGTCATCATACAAAGTTTTGCTAGGTGAGCACAAAACTATCAAGGCGTTGAGTTACTTCTCTTGAGGTGTGTACATTTTTACTATCAGCTCACAACACATGCAAAAAGCATGTATGTATCAACAGTGCGCAGGCTAGGCAACCATGAACAGGTGTATACACAGTAGGCCAGATTCACCCAACGTCTTGGTCAAGGCTAGTCCAATTCCTACATAGTACACAAGGTGAATTGGGTTTGATTCCCAGCAGGTACACAAGTTGGTTTGGATTTGATTCTCAACTACTGCACAATTTCCACCCAGTAAACAATACAGACTGGGTTGGATTCGCAGTGACCTGTAGTACATAAGGTAGAAAAGGTTCAATTCCCATCTAGCACTCAATGTGGATCATGCCTGTATTGTGTTGCCATTTCTCTGCACAAACATTCAATGTCTGACCAGTTTAACCATTTCCCAAATCATGATTCAGAAGTACAAACAATAAGTTGGAATTAGTTTAGCATACGTCTAAAACACCGTTTTCAACGTACTGACCCAAAGAAATCCTTAACCAAACAAAAGAAAGCTGAATACCTGTAAGTTCTCATGGGAAGGGTTGAAGAGGTCAAAGCATTTGACTTTGTTGCTGTCTCCCTCACCCCATAACTCAATGGCAAATGAAAATGGCACCTGAAGAGAAACCAAACCTAGAAGTCACTGTCTCAAAGGTGTATTCACTGGCAAGCAATTTCACTGGTCATCTAACAGCCTTAAAAAGCTAACAAAGAAACTCTTATCACATATGTAAACAAAAAGTCATAAAATTTTTTTCAGTGCTTATTTCTACAAGAAATAATTCAGTAGAATCCCAGTTTACAATTTAATCCTCACAATGCTGTTGACCGTTTTTGGCCAGTACACCCTAGGTTGCATCTTCAGTAAGGTATGGAAAGCAATCGTAAAACCTTACCAAAGCAGAAGCAAGAATTTTCTTATCTTCAGAGTTGGGAAATATGTCCACGGGACAGTGGTTGTGTGTAAGTTTTCTGCATTTTTGAAGAATACTGATTCTGCCAGTTGGATGCTAGTTGTGTACAAAGATAAGTCTGTTAAACCTTTCTGCACTTTTAGACACTTTCTTTTCCCCAAAAGTTTACTCCAAATGGTCAGAAAACAGGAAGCATAATTTGTTTTGTTCTTTTTTGGGGCCTTCCCAAGACTGCATCTGAATCTAATTTGTTGTCTAGAGCTAGGTCTTGGTCTTGGCTCCACTGCAAATATCCAGGGACAGGCTGGCAATAGACGTATTGCTGTAGCTCTGGAAGCCCATTTCTGGACTTTTGTTACCTTTCTGACCCCAGCCATGTAGTCAAACACTGTCCCATCAGCTGGATAGTCATTGAGGTTGTAAGCCACACCGTAGGAAAAGGCATTTTGGGTAGCCTGAGCCATTCTCTGTGCCAGGTCAAGCTGGTCGTCAAGGTGGACAGGCTTTGCATGAGCTTTCTTCGATTCTGCATCTAAAATTTAAAAAAAATGGCATTTGCAGCCTAATACTCAGCAGAAGAACACGACTGTCGCAATGCATAATAATCAGGCCATGAAACTTTCTCATTGCCAAAAAAAGTGCAACCTTCCATATCGTGCACGAGTGACTCCTAAAATGTCAGCGGAAGCTGCAGAAAATAATCTCAAGTATGGACTTATCACAAATATGGTGTACAAACAAATGGAAGTCTAGGGGAATGTAAAACCACACACACAATCATTTAGCTGCATACCTACCTGCAAAGGGTAAATATATCTGTTTGATCCCTGAATGTAAAGACAGGAAGGCATCAAAGTTATGATGAGCACTGAGGTCGAGGTAAACCTGACATTCTGGCTCTGCAAAGGGAGAAAAAATTTGTTAAAAATTAATATCTGTAGTAATAAATGTTCACAGAACCTTCAGGGAAGGGAATGAAAGAACGAACAAAAATGTGATCCTGCCTTTTGCTTTGAAGGACACTTTGAAGTTTCCAGGAAATATGCAGGGCTATGATTTGAAGTCATTGATTTAATGCTAATGGGCTAAATGCAGCCTAAATATTACCGTAGTTTGCTCCGGTCACAAATTTGGTGATGAAGAAGTGGCATACATAATGTTACATCCTCCATTGCAAACTCACAAACTGCCCTTACGAACCGTTCTTGCTTAAAGGCAGCAGACTACATAAAGGCAACTCTTCGTTTATGCATTTTTTTGGAAGGGAACAAAATCGTCAATTTGGACTGAACATCAGACTCCTATTCTCTTACAATTTTGGGACAAACCCTCTGTCATGAAACTCAATGATCAGTAGACCACCATACAGATACGCATATTTCCCTTCTGCATCTGAGGATGCATATAATGATGGTTACTAAACTCACCTGAGTGCACAAATGGTCCCCGGTACTCCTCATCTTTTGGGTTACCAGAGCTCCCCTTCCCGCCAAAGCTCCAATCAAAATTCCTATTCAGGTCCACACCAACGCTGGTTCCCCTCCAGCAATAGTTCTTGGTCCTCTCCACGTGCCGCCTCCCATCTGGATTGGCCATGGCGATGATGTACAGGTCCACACGGCCAAGGATCAGCCGCGAGAGGCTCTCCGCCGGGGAGCCGTGCGGTGCGCTCAATCCACGGGTTATGTTGTTGAGGAGGTAGAACAGACTCTCAACAGGGAAAAACTCCCGAGCGTGCTCCCCATAGGATAATAAAATCTTGGGTTTTGCCATGTTGATGCTGAACAACCCTGGTTCTGTCCTTGTACTGGAGAAATTAGACAGGTGCAGGACATATTGCGGAATGCCAACTCGGGACTTGTACTGCAAGTCTACCTCAATGTAGTTTGGGTTTCTGGCAGCAAGCTGTTTGAGTTGAATGCCTATTTGTGAAATGTTATGGTAATACTTGTAATTTGGGGTGTAGTGTTCCACCTGAGGTCTAACATCTCGAGCGTAAACATTTCTCACATTGGGAAGAACCAGAAGAATAAATAAGGATAACTTCAGTAGTGATCTGCAAAGCCAGTTACACATCCTGGATGAAAAGTGTGGCCAAGTTGTTCGACCTCGCCATGGCTGGTTGTGGTTGCACAAAAGCATACTTTGCAGCCATGGCATACATATCATCCCCTTAGCTCTTTCCATAGTCTCGGGCCTGTTTCATTTAGTTGTTCCCTTGTTAAAGACATCAGCAGGAAACTTGTTGAGAACATGGATGAAATCAGTTCCCCTCCATGTGACACAATCCACATGTCCTGCAGCATTGAACAAACCTTACATTAATTAATCACATTTAGTTAAAATCAGAGTTGAAGAATGACTGTATTTCAGAAAAAGCAAATGAAACATAGTTTGCAAGACATCATTTAACTATTTTAATTATTGGGTCTTGAACTTGAGTGTTGCATTCCAGGCCATCACAAGTCCCTGCCAGTCCATCACAAGTCATTCTGTCTCAGGCCAATTCACAAGCTATTCAAATGAACTGTGACAAAAGAATTCTCTTGTCATTCTGCATCTTGTGGCCTTGTGAAGAGACTTGTGACTGAACATGTGACCTTGTGAAGGGACTTGTGACTGAACTTGTGAAGGGACTTGTGACTGAACTTGTGACCTTGTGAAAGAACCTGTGACTGAACTTGTGAAGGGATTTGTGACTGAACTTGTGAAGGGACTAGTGAAAGGACTTGTGACTGGCCTTGTGAAGGAACTTGTGACTGAACTTGTGAAGGGACTTGTGACTGAACTTGTGAAGGGACTTGTAACTGAACTTGTGAAGGGGCTTGCGACTGAACTTGTGACCTTGTGAAGGGACTTGTCACTGAACTTGTGAAGGGACTTGAGAAGGACTTGTGATGGACTCAACTCCAACACTGTTCAACTTGGTCTTATTGGAAATTGTCTGGGATACACACACTGTAATGTTCAACTTTTTATCATAAACAATAGACAAATACAAGGATGTGTCACACACTTGTAAATTAAAGAAATGCAGTAGATTGTGTAATGCACACTGCTCTCAAGCTCTGTGCAAATTAGTCAGTCTTACTTAATGATTTGTTGATAAATCCGCCATCAGCTACATGTAATTGCACGTTCTTTCCAATTTACAATTTTGTGGCTGGGGAAGACTGTTTTAACTTGTTTGAAAAAGGGAAATAAAGCCGGAGAATTCATACAGGAATTGACTGATACTATCACTAGGGCAACATAACATTGCGATCACGCTGACAGAAGGAATACATGCGATGGTTGGGGTATTGCAGGCACGTTTAATTAACATACCCCTAGTCAAACTCTGGGGTTCGTCATTGGCAAAGCTCCAACATAGCACAGTGGACAATGAACCCCTGAGTTCTAGGGGTATGCCCAACAGATATAGCTGCAGCACAGTTTGGGGGCATTATTTACATTCTTCCCATAAACAGAGCCCTTTATACACAAGTACTTCTCCACTGATACTGGATGAAGCAGTATACAAAGGGACCAGTTGCAACAGGGGAAAAATGTGCTAATTCATTCAAATTCCCATATAGTAATATTTTACAATCCAGAATAACTAAAATATAGCACTTTTAACTAAGATCAAAGCGCTTTCAATTATGATTATGTGATCCCTGCTCACTGGGCCAATGGCACATTCCAAATACCGTCTCAGCTCCCTGCGGAATACACAGCTCAATACAGCTTTTTCGGCACAAAGCAGCTAAATCAACCATAATAACCATCTCTGCCCTCACAGGTACCAAATTAATCCTGGGTGGGGGGCACGCATCATAATCCCAGGTTGGGTTTGAATTCACAACCTATGGCTTTACCTACCGACTACAAACATGACGAATCCAATGCTCTTAACCAAGAGGCCATGGCATGCTGATGTTACATTGATGTTACAAACTAGACACTAAGTTGGCATGGCATCAACATGCAAAATCTACAGTCGTGACAGCATGGATTAGGTATTGAATTTCTTATAAAAAGTTCCATACACGGACATTACTGCACATTCTGTGCACAAAACCAATCACATGAGAAAAATGTCTATGACCGTATGGTCGCAAGGTCCCTATTTTTTTGCCACCTACTGTCAAGTCCGATTGGTTTTCACATGAGGGACCTGGCGACCGTACAACAGACGTTAGCCTGAACATGGTCTGAAAAATTGTGAGTATTTTCTAAATAAAATGATATACATTTTCACTGTTAAATTTGACTTGTTAGGACCTGTTAATGTGTTATCACTCTCTGATGGCTTATGGGTAATTAAAGAAATTAGGGGTCAAAAAGTGTGACATCTGACCTTTGTGACGTGACATGGAAATATCACCGGAATTGGTTTCAAACTATTACAATTTGTTTGGCAGGCACTTTGCCCAATTCATCACTCTAGGAAATTAGAAAATGTGTTCTGCACTTACAAAATCACATGTCAGATGTGCAGGGATACGAAAAAAATGGACCCCTAATTTCTGAATTACCTTTATAGGAAAGCGTTCCATACATACAGACGCTGTTTGACACCCTGTGCACAAATCCTATGAGAGTGGTCTGAAAAATTCCAAGGGTTTTAAACATAAACAACTTCGTATTTTCCCTTGTAAAAACGCTGAATTCAAATTTTCTCTGCTTTTATGCTTTGTGACGGCTAATAGGTCGCTGTAGGGAATAATTATTGCCGTCCGCACATGTATGTATATGGAGCTCTTTCTGGCTTATAAACCACTGCACAGGAAAATAAGTGATGTCCGTATATTATAAGTTAACATGCGAGTGTGAGTGGAACACACAATAATGTAGTGTGTCTGTGTCCCATACATACCACAAGGCCGATTAAGGAACAGAGACGCACTACATTATTCTATGTTCCACGAGCACAAGCGTGATGACAAATTTACACAAATGTATCTTCAAGCAAACTTGACGAGCAGTAAAGATGTCATTGGGGCCTATGAGCACAAATGCGCCACCTTTGAATTTAAAGTAAATTTTGCGGTTGTGTGTTTTGCTTTTAGCGTAAAGATAGCACAATGCGTTGAATTAGAACGGTGCATTACACAGGGTTTGATATGAACCGTCCAATACAGTTATATACCACACTGTTTGTTGCCATGGATAGACCAATCAGAATTGAGAACTCAAGTTTGCCTGAAGACAAGTCCATTTATTTGGTCTCTACTCGACAAGCTATGCTTTTTAGAGGCCTCCATCTACTATAGCTCTGTATTGTTATTATGAAATGTTTCACATGAAAAATAAATTGAAAGTGAAGAAGAGTAAGAAGATATGGAACTCTTACCTTAGTTTAATTTGTGATTGTATGTTTTATTCATGCAATCGAAAATATGAACTTGTGGTGTTCTATAGACGCCGGAATTGCGTCACAATGTGATGTCGCCCCCAACGATGGCTCTGTTTCATTTCATTTCATTTATTTTATTTTTCAGGATAAACATTTCACAGAAATACAATAACATACAGTTTACAAAAATTACAGAATAGGATACACAAGACATACAAAGGACAAGTGAACAGTATTTAACCAGCTCCCGCTGGATTACCCAAAAGAAACATGGTTTCTGTCGAGGGGGCTCTCCAACTGGTTAAACAGAAAACAATGAGAACAATTAAAGATATAGATTAATACAATATAAAAAATATAAGGCTTTACATAAATAACATACTCTGCTGCATCGTCACCCCCTTTCTCATTACTTTTACGCTGTGTTTAATGCATTGCGTCACACTGTCACGTTGTGCCATTGACCTGTCGTACCATCGCCTCATTACTGGTGGAAATAGGGGGCGTCCTTAAAGACAGAGCTAAGTTCCATATCAATAGATATCAACACATGATCACATCTTGTAGGCCTTACAGGCATTTCCGTGTAAAAAGGGAAAATGGACTCAATCTTTTTTTCACTGAGTTTTTCAATTTGGTTGTATTTTTACAATAGCATATTGACAAAAGCTATGGAAAAAAGTCTTTAACTAATCTTTGCTGGCTTTTAACATGAAAAATCACCTTGTAAACATTATGTCTGTAATTATTTAGTTTTGACATATCAAAAGAGCTACATGTACATGTATTACGAAATCCTCCAAAACAACTCCATTTTAATTTGTATGCTGAGTTAAAAGTTGGATATAGTTTCATGAGAGCATTTTCTCATTACATTTTATTAAAAACATTCCCTTTCTATTCTAGCTTTTCAGGACAGACCCGTTGAATCTGGTGGTGGTGAGGATGTAACGCGAGTCACATAATACACAAAAAGTTAACTGTATACCAAAACCCCAGGGGTACTGAGTTTGTCAATTAGTAACCTCTTCCTTCAGTGTGCAACAAACCAAATTATAACAACACCAACCCTAGGTTATTTGCCTAGGATAAAATATCTGGCTCTGAAAGTTGGTAACGCGAGTCACATGTAACGCAAGTCACAGCATTTAGCAGTAGGGTAACACAAGTCACAATTTAAACTGCAGTAGTTGCAGTGCTTATTATCTTTGCATCAGTGCCAATTGTTTTCTAAAGTTTACTGACATCTTAAATAGAGGGCAGCAGATAATATTTTCATAATTCCATACACCGGTTCCTGTTAGTTTTGCAACATTCCTCATTTACAAGTACATATGTACATGTCGGCAGAAAACAAAAGATATGCATCTGTCATCATCTATCTGAAATAAAGGTAAGTACATGTAACTTTCTCTCAAATCATATCAATAGGGGTGAAAAGTGAAGTACATGTACAAGTAAAACTTTGCCCAAAGTGAAAGTAAATAATGAGGGGAAAAAGAGCTCCAATTGCTCCAATTGTAGAATTTGGACAAATGAATGCATGGAATTCTATGAAGCATGACCTCCACAGCTATTGCAATACATGTAATTAGCCAGATTATACACAATGTTGCATATACCGATAAATTTTATCTACTTCAGCCTTATTTTCCTCTTTCTGCATTTCACGTGTCATACATGTACATGTACTAGGCCTAGACCCTGTGTAGTTGACAATACTACTTACTAGCACTTGGCATGTACATGTACAGTACATGTACCTGTATTGCTGAATGGCGTTGTGATAAAATGGTTCAGGAGCAATTTTTCATAAACCCCACATAAAGTGATTTAAGACCTGACTGTTTTCCACAACCCAGCAGAAGTGTCTGCAGGGTCACCTTTAATAATTTGTATCCCACATCATTATACATGTTTACTAGTGCCCAATAATCTAAGGAATCAATGTGACAACGCATGAAACGTTCAAATTTTTTTGGGGGGCACCACATGTCAATTCTTCAAAGTAATTCTTTTATCGTTCATGATATGAAAATGTTATAATTGTTAACTTTGGCAACTATTTGTCTTCTCAACGGTAAACCTGAAAGCACTGTTGCACTGGTAACTACATGTATACACAAACAATCAAGCTAACGTGTGCATTATCTAGGGTAATCTTGAGGTGACACGAGTCACATCGATTATTTATGTTTTTTTCCTAAACTGGTTGGGAAATGCATATCAGTTTAGGTGATGTAGAAATGGTATTGAGTTCCGAGTTTCTGATAACTATTCATTGTTTTCTCCAATTCATAGTTTGAGGAGAAATTTGATTTAAACCTAAGCCGATTTTACAGCTTTCCTTTTTGTGTAACGGGCGTCGTGCTGTAATTACAATGCAATAAAATCGTTGTTATCTATTGAAATCATTTTTTGTTTGTGTTTTTTATACTAAGTGCTACATTTCAGTATGTGTGTGGTTATAAAAGTTTCAAAATGAACTAAAATGTAACGTGAGTCACTGTGGAAATGCCCTAAGGTCTTATGCACACACATTATTTTTTCAGGACTTGTGACAAATGCCCTCTGTTAGCCGTGATGACCACTAGCCATTTTTAGAAACAGTCAGACACAATGACACAATAACATGGACAATGACACGACGTGACGGTACGACATGACGATGCGATGGCACGACATCAGGATGCAGTAGAATGACAGCAGGGAGCGACGACCTAACCCACACAGTATAAAACCCATACAATGACAGGCACTGCAATGGCGTGACGCGATGCTACACTGGCAGGACACAACATCACAGCATCAAGAAGCAACACAGCATGATGCAATGGCACGATGCGACAGACATGACAGAGCTGTTGTAGCATTGCTTCGGGGCGACAGCATGACGTAACACAATTTTGTTGGCAATTGAACACCATTTTTAGTACACCATAAGTCATAACCCAATGTCGCAGTTGCATCAAATACAATTCATATCAATGTCTCGCTTGTGGGAGCGGGTCGGCTCCAAGGAGCAGGTGGGAAGTCATAGCCCCACACGTAGGGTTGTAGTGGCTCGCTTTACAATCTGCAGGGCTCAATTTCATAGAGCTGCTTAACCACAAAATCTGCTTAAGCGCAAAAAACTTGCTTAAAAAATAAAGGTTACCAGCTCAAACCTTATGTCATTGTCATGTTAACCAAAAGACAAGTGAATACCATTCCACAACAATATACATCACATGGAGTTTCGGCTGGTAATCTGATTTGTCAATCAAGGTTTTTTCACGCTTAAGCAAATTTTGTGCTTAAGTAGCTCTATAAAATTGGCCCCTGTCTCTTATAAAAGAGAGCCACTACAGCCCTACGTACGTGTGGCGCTACTGTCGGCAGCCGGACCTCACGTCACAGTTCTGGGGGTAACGCAAGGCCCACGCTCGGGTCATGATCATACTCACGGATAAATGCGAACAGCCAGCTATACCAGAGTTGAAATTTTCTAAAGATCGAAGAAAACTTTAAAGGTAAGCAGTTTGGCCTGCTCTTCGTACTAGACATGCTAGATCAATGGTTTTGTACAGCTACCAAGCAGGCCTAGGCGCTAGGCCTACATTTTGCTCTACTCAGCCGTGGCTGAAGAAAACCCCCCAAAGTATGGTTGCGGCTTCCATGCAAGAAGGCGCGTGTGCGACGTGCATGTAGCCGTAGCCAATTATTTATACATGACAGTTTTGTGAACACCTTTACCATATCGTTAGAGGGCGCACCGTGGCCGGCCCGTCGGCCAGCTGTTATTAATCATTATGTACAGTACATGTACAGTACATCATGCATGCCGCGCCGCACAGCTAGCTAGCTGCGGATGGTGCTCCATATACCATGGAGGCTACCTCCATGCACATATACATACTAGCTTTGTTACAGTTAAGGACTGCAAACGTGAAGGAGTGAGTTTCTTGCCCCAGATAACTTTTGTGCTACCGTTCAACTCGCTTAAATTACCTTCAATTTTAAGGCATGGAGGAACTTGGGCAAGAGTTAACTTCTGTATCTTGCCTCATCAGTCACCACTTAAGTTTTAGTTAGTCTGTAGCAAGGAGAGCTAGGGCTTCGGCCGACCGGTACTTCCTGAACAGTACTAAAGGCCGGTTCATACCTGCTGGATATTCACTGTATATGCAGCTCATACTTCTCGAACGGTAAATTCGGGAAGTATGCAGCACAAGGGTCTATTTTCAGGTGTCTGCATTGCATGAACGAAAGCGCAGTGCGTAATGAAAATGTGCGTAATAAAAATGGATTGTGCCTACGCACCAAATGTACATGTATGTGTATTCGGACAAATTGCAATTTGTTAACTTTTGTTGGATGTGCACATGCAGCCGAGAATTGAGAAAAGATGAAAGTGTGAATGACAAATGCGGCGTTCATTACGGTATTACATCATTTGGTGTGTACACGCTATCCATTATTTTCACAAACTTTGTGTAAGGGGTGCATTTTCATTACGCACTGTGCTTTTGTTCACGCACCGCAGACACCTCAAAATAGACCTTCACGCTGCGTACAAAGTGAATATGCAGTGAGTATGAACTGGCCTTTACTGTTTAGGAAGAAGCTTAGGTCCATAGGCTACTTAGTCCCATAGTAACATGGCTAACCATTCTAACGACTAACGTTAGATAATTTTTGAGTCAGGGGGTTCTAGCTAAGTGGGGTAACATCTTGATAAAGTCCAGTCAAAGGGTAGCTGCAATCACTTTGTTTTAATCAGTATACAAACCTTTGAAGTGCACCTTTGTGTCTCAGATGATGCTAATGACATGAATGAGGATTTCCGTATTCATGAGTAAAACTGTAACGCCATCCCTGGAAGAAATCCTTGGGCAAGTTCGGGCGCAAACTATAGTTCAAGCGCAAGTCTGTTACACTCGAATGCCCCTAGTCGGTCAATTTTTTAAAATTGCATTGTTACATTCCACCATTGGCTGCGATTCTCACAGTGTGCATGGTCATTGAAATCTTGTACAATTATTTTCATGTGAATGGTTCCCTCTGTAATGATAAATGAAATCTGCTATTGATAACCAGCGGGGTGGCCATACCTCTTGGCATGGTCCCAAATGGTCGACTAGATAGTTCAAATTAACCATCCATTGTTCAGGCAGTATGGTCAAACTATCGTTTGCTGTAGTCCCTTAAACTTACCCCTCAGTGTTACATTGGTTTGTACACAAAAAAGGCCTGCATTTTTGTAGATTTCCATGGACTCGGTTTTCTCTTCTTTGCTGATTCATTTTTTGTATGCATAGCAATAAAAAAGCATCAATTCCTCTTTCAGAAATGCTGTCAGTAAGTAAATTCTGGGTTCACCATTTGAACAGACTGTGCTCCATGTATATGTCCTCCCTCCACTTAGTTTTGCTTATTGTTCAGGGCCAAACACTGAATGCCAGCATAGCTTTTGTGATGGAAACGAGATGTATGATGTAATTCTTTTGTTATTCAGTCGTCTAATGCAGCAGTGGCCTTTTTTGAGCAGTGAAATTTGTTGATTCTCTCTTTTCCTGTTAAAAAAAATCATGATATTCTTGCATCTTGAGTTTTCCCGAGAATTTGAAATCCGTAAAGGTGAAGCCAGTGCTGAACTACAGGTACTGTAAAGGCCATCCCGATGCTCATTAGCTTGATACATTTTTAAAGCCAGATTCAAGAACTTAAATTTGGTTCGCTACGCTTTGATTTTATTCTGTCATGGCAAATCATTACCTAACTGAAAATCCAGTCGATATTTGAATAGTATAGAATTCAGTAGGTTAAATGGTATCGATAAAAATTGCTTTATGATATATCAAGGATCGGTGCTGGCTTCTGTGGACACTAAATGACGATGTTGCTTAAAATGACTTGATATCACTTTTAAAAAATATTACAAATGTCTTTTGCAAATATTATGTGGGGCATATCTCCAGAAAAACTCCTGTGAGAAATATTTTTAATGGTTTAGCTTTGCTTGCTATGTTGGCAACACACCAATGTGAGAACAGAACATCCACTAATATCGAACACTGGCTATGGCTCTTCACCGTTTGATCAGAATTCGAAGCCGTAGTTGTAGGAGACGCAACCAGAATGCGACTCGCCTGTCATGTGCCACCCCATCCAAACCTTTGTATTAACTAAATGGTACACTGGCAGAGGTGGATGAACGTACGTTGCTTTGAACCATTTCTTCCCTAGATGACTTCACAGCAACAGCGCCCTCAATTGACCAGGAAAGCATGGATAATTTTAATTGTTTAAAAGTGCACTTTTCAATGCATTTAACTAAATAGAATTGTAAAAAGAGTTCTCATACATTAAAGAAGAATACAAAGTTGAAGGAAAAATTGTGTCTGAGAAAAAGTAATTGCAGCTACACTTTAAAATAATGACATCAAAAATTTGCCAAATACAAATTACCCGATGGCATTAGCACAGGGGGGCTGGAGTTACTCATAGTAGAGGTACCAAGTTTAAATAGTTGGGTAAACAGGTAGCTGGAAATATCCACTGCTAAAGGTTCACAAGGCATGTGTGGTAAATCTCCCCATGGACCAGCATAATATGCGGTAACACATAGGGTACTGAGCCTCAACATTTTTCCCAAATTTCAATTAAATGCTGCAAAAAGGGGAAGGGGCTTGAATTCTCTTGACACTTAAAGGGCGATGTGATCTTTTTGTGTGTAATTTTAAGTTCTTAAAGCCCTGTGGTTAAGGGGATTGAAATAAACTACCTAGCTATTGTCACTCCTTCCACGTTTCACTACTGAGAGAACAGACTTTTAAAAAGAAACTTCCTTGGTCAGTGGCGAACTAAGGGGTTTCTTTTTTTTGGGGGGGGGCACCTATTGGTACTGGAATTTTGGGGGGGTGTGAACAGCCCCTCCCCCCCAGCTACGCAACAAGATGGACTTCACTACAGCCCTGAACTTAGACCTTAAATTATCTCTCTCAACATTTAATACCAAGATGTAGAGTTGTAGATTAATCTGAGAAGACATCATTACTACTGGGCCACCATGCTTATGTGTGGGTCCTTAACTTGAGCACAGTCTTCGCTTTGGCAAATCACAACATCCTTGCAGTAAAGGCTTCTAATTCTGACCACCAGAGTAGTCTATTAAATCCCCTAAGACTATTTGTTTTTTTATTTATAAAATTACAAATTTGTATTGGTACACAGTATTTTTGGTTATATACTTGTAGTTGCATTTTAATAAACAGAGATGGTTATTCCTTTTGACTCAGTGTCTGAATTAGAGGAGGTAACGCAACGGTTTTTGCATCATCAGTCAGCAGCTGAGAAGTTTGAGACCTCAGAGACACCTCAACGCGTCCTCGACGAGGTCAGCTTGGAGGGTGTGGCCAGATACATCAAGAGTGGCAACTGTGAGTGGGAGCGTAAAAATCAAGTGCCTTTGAATTTTTTCTTTCGGTTTTGATTTTCACATGGGAAGCATTTGGGGACACCTGTTTGGCATCATGCCAATATAGATGTCCATATTCCTGAAAAATATCCATTTTCACGATCTCAAAAGTGATGTTGTCTTTCCGAGCAGTAGCTTGGATGTTAGTTTCACTCGCTTTTTTTGCAAGTATTTCTCCAAATGGAGTTGTGTTATCATTCTTGATTGCATAATCATGGCAGTGAGTGAAGATTCTACTAAGAATTTGTAAACTATTTCAAGAAATTTCAGACTTGATAGAGTAAACAGGTACACAAAAATGGATTTTTTCAGAGATATGACTGTATAATTAAATGAGATGTTCTTGTTCTTGGTATAATTTCAGGCAAAAATATAATTTTCATGACAGGAGCAGGGATCTCTACGTGTAAGTCCTTTTGTTGATTTATATGTATCAGAATTTTCTTCAACTTCAGTACATAAGATTAGATGCTGGCTCGGGTTCCAGTCCTCCAGTGACAATTTAGTTGTGGTTTTGGGTAGGCAAGAAAGCTGTAGCCTGTCACACCAAAATTAGGCCTTCCTCTGAGTAGAAAAGAGTGTGCAATTTGGTTCCTGCACAGCAGGGGATTTTGGTTAGGCTTGACCCTCACGGATGCTTGTGGACAGGGCTGCTTCATACTCAGTGCGTGGGTAAACTTCAAATGTCAGTTTGACATCGTGAAGTATTCATATCAAAAGTTGAAATGTACTCAACTCTGGGCAAATTTACAGCATGCTGATTTCCCATTACGTCACAAATTCGCATCGCCCATTCTTTTGAGCTGAGAGTGAGTCTGCTCATCTGTTGTGGATCTATACTATGTCCAGCTGCAGGACTTCCAGATTTCAGGACTGAAACCACCGGCCTGTACGACCAACTTCAGGAATATGAGCTTCCCAATCCTCAGCGCATGTTTGAGATCAGATACTTCAAGGTCAGGACTAAGTTACCGTGCATTTTGGGCTGTGATTAGCGTTCAATATGTTCAGTACAAATTTGCCCTCATTGCAGCTCTTCTCAAGCTTCCACATTCCTGTTGCCTCTTTTCAAAGTGGGGACTATTGTGAAGCTGGTGATTATGATGCAAATTCGGTCTTTTCATTTCTGGGCTACACACAAAGACCAATTACCATATACACAAGAGCCAGGGTCTGCCTTCTTACATCGTGTTCGCTCGAGGGTGGGCTGAGAATAATAGCCGAAAAGCGGGCTGAGGATTTCAATTTTTACTATGTGTCTTAACGCGTCCCCGCGTGAAGGGGTTAAAATACACTTTTTAAAAAGATTGAAATAATCCTTGCATCTCTGGACAGCAGTAGGTGCTGCTGTCTTCAGGGAAGATACTGTTCAGTTTGTAGTTTTCTGCCAAAATGTGTGAATCAAAAATGTGCTTGCTCTCTAAAACATTCCTGAGAACACATTGCATGTTAGCTTATTGCCATGTACTCACATTGCAATGAGTCACTAAAGAAAAGGAAATTTAGAAATGTTAAAGCATGAAAACTGCCAAGTGTGTATGCACAAATCAGTGCAATACTGAGGCTTTCTCCTTGGAGTGATATCACAGTCTTCTTCTTGAATATGGAAATTTGCACTTGCACGAAAACCAAAGAGACACCAAAACACAAACACTGAAAATAAGTTTAGTTGGAAAACAAAATTCACTGCATTGACCCTTTAAAGAGGCAGATGTGAAATTCTCTTACAGCCCCTGAGAGGCACAAAGTTTATCGCCGACTTGCAAAATGTCAGAAGTTTATGCCATGAATAAATTTCTTTCAGGGGCAGGGATGAGTGAGGTGCATTTAGTGGCCCCTCCCTATTACAACCTGCTCCACAACCTCCAAAACTCAAAAATATTCAAAATTGCTTTTTTTGTTATTTTGTGTGCAAAGTTAATCTTCTTAAACTTGTCCCATTTAGCTGGGTCACCCGCCCAAGCGATCTAGGGCCTATTCCTCTTCCATTCCACAGAGTTTCATGTCCTCCTCTGATGCAGTCCACCCATCCATCTTTCCATTCGTATTCCCCTCGTCCTCTCAGGCACACTCAATCCCATTGCTCTCCCACTGCTTCATGCCGGGTGGAATTTGTATATGCGGGACAAGTTCCCGGGAAATTTTCAAGATTTTCCGTTTTTAAATTCTTCAAAAATTCATAACTTCATTTATTGGACATTTACACCCACATCAATGACTGTCAGGGGGCTACTCTAATCTGTAAGGCAACCTTCATTGAGGCCTGAGTATTGCAGCCAGGCCCTCCGCCCATTAAAGAATGCCCAGATCGTGCGGTGTTGTGTTATTCCTTTGTTCCTGAAATTGGCCCAGCGCATTGCTGAATTCAAATACAGCCATATTAGCATGCAGCAGTACTGTATCACTCATCGCCGGAGTACTTTTGTCCCCGCTGATAATCCATGGGCGCTGAATGCCGCAAACAGTAGTATACTGTTTCAAAACAATGACGGATTACCTCCGCTAATTTCACATTCCTAACCCACATCAGCCTTGCTTCTCTTGCCCTCTCAATTCCAACCACTCCTTCCGTTTCCTGCTTACTCTTGGTTGTCTTCTGTTCTTTAAGACTAATGCCCATAGTCCATCTCGGCATTCTCAGCCATAGGCACAATTTTCTCTGTTTTGCTGTATAGGAGCACTGGTCTGGTCATTGGTGTGTATAGAGGTTTTTCACATGGTGTAACATGATGGGCAAAGGCATTTCAGGAAGCATATCATGTCTATGGAGGCGTGTTCATTTTGGAATCTTGGTATTTCTGTTGGCAATTTCATGTACGCCAGAATGTTAAGAGATTTCAAACCCGCGCCCATTTCTGTGCACATCTCTGTAAAAAGAAAGCTGACCATCAAAACTCCTGTGACAGAAAATCCTCTATATTTTGGTTGTTTGTTTCAGGGCACAGTAATAATTTTTAAATGTGTTTCAGCTCACAAGCATAATCTGATCTAGCTTCGTTTCTTATGGGATATGCAGAAGAGATTTTGTTTAATGCTGTTTTGTTGCATTTCAGGAAAGGCCGGAGCCATTCTTTAAACTTGTGAAGTCGCTGTACCCTGGAGCTTTCAAGCCTACACCGTCTCATTACTTCATCCGCCTAATGTGTGAAAAGAACATTGTTCGGCGGAATTACACGCAGGTAACTTGCAAACTGCAAAAAGAGGAGTTTGAATAAACTGCTGTCTTGTGTCCAGAAACAGCCAAAAGTATGTAACAATTCTTGTAGTGAGGCTGTGACAATTACTTCTTGTAATGAGGCTGTGAATGTCATCTGAGGGTAAAGAGGAACAATGTTTCATAATTTTTCTCCATGATTTTATTTTCAGAATATTGATACTTTGGATAAGATAGCTGGAATTGAAGAGGAGTTAATAGTGGAAGCCCATGGAGGGTTCAGCACAGCTCACTGCATTGGGGAGAGTTGTTTGACAGAATATCCTGCTCTGTGGGTAAAAGGTGCGTCAAGCTTGGACTTGAGAAGAGTTGAAGATTTTCCATTATTACCCTCTTTCGTTGAAAAAAAAACCAAAAACCGACCAGTGTTATAGTCAAGACCATTGCAAGACCAGACACCAGACCAAACACAAGACAAGAGTCCAATCACGAGCAATGGCTTTTTTCACACTGGACAAATCTCGCAATTGACACATGGATGAGAGCATGCAGTCTATAACAGGACATTTTTTCAAACCGGGCCAACCTCAATTCACCCCTGAAATTGATTTCACCCTTGATCAGAGTGTAATGAGTTGAGTCAAGGACTATCCAGTCCCAATTTTGGATGACTCTACTCGACTGGACTCCTAAACAGGTAAATGACTTGACGCTAGTCCATCATCAGAAGACTTGACTCGAATGTAAGTTAATAAGACGCGGGTCCCATAAAAAAAGCAAATTTCCTTGCAACAAAACAGTTGCAATGACTTGCAGTGCTAGTTTCTAATGTTCATGTCATGTGTTATGACCATCAAGAGTAGATGTGGTGTGACAACTTACATGTACATGTATAGCAAACCGGAGGAAAATTTCAAAATGCCAAAAAATGACTTTCTGTCTTGTTTTTATTTATTGTATTATATTCATATATTTGTAACGTGAGTTAAATATTTGACATTTTGCCTTACGGCTTGACTTGAGTCACTACATTAGACTGACTTGACTCGACTTGACCCTCTTTGCTACAATAACTCGACTTGAGTCACAAAAAGTGGTTGGTGTGCTTGAGAAAGCCTTTTACAGCAGGATTTCCAGGCAATGACAACATGCACTCCGATTATCAAGTATTGATTTCGAGTCGATGCTGCACAAGGTCTTCATTGCTCATGTTCTTCTCAGGGTTGAATTCACCTTGAGGTAAAATGAGCTTGGTTCACTTGAAGTAAGAGTGAAATGACACAGGGGTTGAACAGATGATTAACATATGAAATCGTCAACCCAGGGTGGGCCCAGATTCTCCCAGGATGAGTTCAACTCAGGTTGAGAGGTCTTGTGTCTTGGGCTGGTCTTAAGTAAGAAGTTGTGACTACAACTGTGGAACTGATGCTTACCAGTAGACGACCAGATGAAAATTAAACAATTGTGGCTGACTTTCTCAGTGGCTGAAAGGTATGAATGCTGAAAAAGTGAGTACTACCTTAACTTTTCTTTTCCAGATGAAATTTTTGCAGACAGAATCCCAAAGTGTAATCAGTGTGGAGCTGTTGTCAAGCCAGATTGTGCATTTTTTGGCGAGGATATGCCCAGAAGGTTTGAGCATCTAGTTGTAGAGGTGAATTGAGTTCAAGTTACCTCAAGTTCATTTATCTTTTAATTTAGGTCTAAAATTGCTGCATGGTGTCAACGGAAGTGTCAAAAAGGATTATTGTGAATCTGTTGCAGTGTTATTCTTTACTGCAACTGTGTAGACCCTTTGTAGCTGGCAATCTACCCAAATTCTCCCAAATTGTTCACTGCACCACAGACAGTGGCAATAGTGCATTTGCATTGGACCAAAAATTACCATAAGTGCTTTTCAACGTTCCGTCACAGTTATTCTCCTGTGCATCCACACATGGATGGTCACTTAAAACCTGCAGTGGCATTTCTTCTTAGAATTTTATGAGGGCATTCTCTTTTTGACTTCATAATGTGGATGGGGCTTCAGGGAAGTGCAAATTTTGTTGCAGGGGTGGGTACATCGTCAAGTTACCCATTTCGTATCTTATGTATAGTATGTTCAGTACTGAATGGATGCTTGTGGAAAACAACAGAGGTCATATGGGTATGCCCTCAACCATGTTGTCAAACTGTAAGTTTAATATTACAGGGTTGTGGGGCTTTTGACATAAAACTGACATTATAATTCTGTGACCCAGTTGGCTGCGTCAAACTTTTGTTGTGGAAGGTAACAGTGACAACAAGTGATGCTCTTCACTTCACAGTTATGACAGTTTACCTGCTGTCCGCATTGGACTTAGTTTTGTCAAATTGACAATATTCTCTGTGAGTTTTAGTCCCCTCCGCCTAAAGACAAAAGCCCAATGTGAGCAGGGTTAATGCTATACCATCAAACAGGTACCCTAAAAGTGTGGCCTTTTCCCTCTGAAAGCTTTCTTTTGGTGGTGTTTATTCACTTATCGGCAGGACTTCAGCAAGTGTGACCTTCTGATTGTTGCTGGAACCACACTGGTAGTGCAACCATTTGCATCAATGATACATAAGTGAGTGTGGATAGGCTGGGTGTCTACCATATTTGGTTGTGGGACATTCTATTTGATGTTACAACCACATGGCATGTTTAAACCATGTAGAGCATAGTTCATCAGAACCTGTTCCTCTTACTTAAACACATCAGGAAATAGTTCTGAATGGTCAAACTGGGTACCTGAGGTTTGGGGGAATATATTTTAAACTAGAGATCAAGGGACATGAAATGCTAAACATTTTTTCCACTTATCAAAGGTGTTGATGGGCTTCCTTGGTATATAGTAATTTGAATTACTTTTCACATTTACTTTTTTTTTTTTTCCCGTTGAATTATAGAGTTGGTTTTCTAGCCCTGTATTTACTTCATTAGGCCTAGGGATACTCGGTTCTCATACAAGCTGTAAATGTACATCAATTCTTGCCCATTGTGATGCGAGACCAACAGACATTTTTGGATGTGTTCCTAGAATCTACCTTATACAGTGTAATATGTTAAATGGGATGGTGCCAGACTATTTTGGTTTCATGCCTCAATTTCTTTTTTTTTTAATAAGGGATTATGTACTTGGCTGCCGTGGCCTGTCTGAAACGTGCATTTAAGACTGGCTCAGGAAAATGGATATGACTATTAAAGGCCCGAGTTGCATGCATCATTTTCATTCAGTGTCCTGAGACCAGCCAAGCACATATTTATTTCCATTCATAAACACCTTTTTTAGAGAGTCAAAAGGATTCAGTATATGATGGATTTCCAACTATTTTGTTCTAGAATTGTCCTTTCATTTTCCCAAACGCCCCCGTCCATTTCATGGAATACTCCTTGTGCACATTGTCCAGTTGGCGCACCCGTGGTGAACCGCATGCAGACTGTTTTTTCCAATCAGAACCAATTACAACTGTCTTGTAAATTGTCTTGTATCCAGGTGCCAGTGCGTGATTTACACAGTGGGCATCACAGCTTCTCAGTGGGCATTATTAAATGTTAATACACGGTCAAATTGCACATTATTGAATAGGGAGACTGTTTGAGGCATTTATGAATGTGGCTTAAACCATTTAGATATAAACAGTCACAAAGTTTAAACTCCTCATCAGCATAAATGACATTAATTTGCAATGAAGCTTGATTTCAAATTGTTCTTTTTTTTCTCAGGTTCCCAAATAAAAAGTAAACCTCACGTAATATGGCTTAATTGCTGGTAAGGCCAAGTGGGAGATTTGTCAATACAGATTCCCAAATAAAAAGTAAACCTCACGTAATATGGCTTAATTGCTGGTAAGGCCAAGTGGGAGATTTGTCAATACAGATGAGTGAGCAGCTGTCCTTATTGAGTAACAGTAATAACCAGAAACAGGGTAACGGGCTTGTTTGTTGATGACTGTGATTGTTTCATTACCCCGCAGGGTACCAGCTTCAACACCGAGGCTTTTGGTCAATTATGAATTAAGTGGCAAGGTAAAATCTCATACTTGACAATCATCATGATTGTTCAGCTAACTTCCTGAATCTTTCAAAGTCCTCCATAGTGCAGAAAAAGAAACATTCTTTTTACTTCATCTTTCCAGGGCATCAATTTTATATTATAATAATGTAAATTGGTCAACCCTGCTTATTGGTGATGTTAATTGTTGGTTATTGGTGAGGTCTGTTGTTTGGTTTTTGGCAAGTTAATTGGTGAGGTTAATTGTTGGTTATTGGCGAGGTTTATTGTTTGGTTACTGGTGAAGTTAATTGTTGGTTATTGGTGAGGTCTGTTGTTTGGTTATTGGCGAGTTAATTGGTGAGGTTAATTGTTGGTTATTGATGAGGTTAATTGTTGGTTATTGATGAGGTTAATTGTTGGTTATTGGCGAGGTTAATTGTTGGTTATTGGCGAGGTTAATTGTTGGTTATTGGTGAGGTCTATTGTTTGGTTTTTGGCAAGTTAATTGGTGAGGTTAATTGTTGGTTATTGGCGAGGTTTATTGTTTGGTTACTGGTGAAGTTAATTGTTGGTTATTGGCGAGGTTGATTGTTGGTTATTGGCGAGGTTGATTGCTGGTTATTGGCGAGGTTGATTGCTGGTTATTGGTGAAGTTTATTGTTGGTTATTGGAGAGGTTAATAGGTGAGGTTTATTGTTTGGTTATTGGTGACCTTAAATGTTGGTTATTGGCGAGGTTTATTGTTGGTTATTAGTGAGGTTTATTGTTTGCTTTGCCAGATAAACAAATCCAAACAATTTTGATTGTTTGACTATATATTGGCTTACTGTATTTTTCATCTGCATTTTCTTTTATTTTATCATTTTCTGTGTAAAATTTAATTTATGCTTTTATCTAATTTTTTTTTATATGATAATGTTTGCAGGGCCCCATGACAGACCACCTTCGGGTGAATGGGTAACCCTGGGTGAAGATCAGAAAAAAATAGGATAAGAGCCAGGTACCGGTCATATGTGGCTGAAACAAAACTGTCGTGCAAGTGGGGAGGAAATACATGTACTTGCTAGGAACATGTGCAGCCTTTAGACAGGTTATGCTATGGAAGTAGCTCTTACTGTGACTTTTTTCTGGTGTGTTGGTTGTTCCAGGCTGACCCCCTGATGAAATTCATGGGCAGGGGTGTTGGTTTCAACTTTGGTTACACTGATAATTACAGGTAATATACCCAAAATGAACAGTATCTTTTTAAGTGTTTTTGAGGCGTGTGCCTTGTATACCTATTAACATTTTAATGAAACGTACCCAGAGAGTAGTTGTAATTATTCTTGTATTTCCTCAGAAATAAAGGTACTTTGTCACCACAAATGTTAGTGAGAAAATTGTAACAATGTCTAATTGCTAACAAGATGGATGTATTCTATATTTACATGAAGGGATGTATTTTACTGGGGGTCTTGTGATGAAGGGTTCTACAGACTAGCTGAACTTCTTGGATTGAAGGTAAAGCAGTTGTCCTCTAAGAGATACTTTACCAAGTGAAAGATGTTGTACAAGTTCATACCTGTGTTCGCTTTTGTTTTATTTGTGGCACTTTTATTTTGTCAGTGCAAGGTTGTTGAGAAAAAAATGCCTTGGTGGATTAATTCTTGCAAGGAGTGAAATTTTCACATTCACATTGTATCTAAATCTTCATGAGGCGACGAGTCCAGTATTTGGGGTAAGATTTCCACCTCTTTCTACCAGATTAGATGGCTAACCATCTGCAAATCTAGCCATTGTTACTTTTCTTTTTTTTTTCAAAGGAAAATATTGTGTTTGAACATTATTTCAACGTATACACTTTTTTAACAAATTATTGATTTCAGAATAACAATTGATGCATTGATCTCTTCATCCTCTGAGTGATGAAAAAATTCTATGAATCCATATACAGGAAGAGCTGGAACGACTAATCAAGACAGAGCACCAGAAATTAGATGCTGCAGCCAGTTCTAAGTGAAATGATGGAAGCAAAAACATTGTGGTACTACAGTGTTGTATTCATGAAATATTGGAATGAAATTTTATTAAAAGATAAATTCTGAAATTCCAAGAATTTCTGTAAAATTATCTAAGATTTTATTTAGTTCTCTTTTACAGATGGGTGAGAAGTCAATTTCTATTTCAGATTTACAGTTATAAAGTGAGTTAGGGCTGGTATAGGATTTCAATGCAGCTGTATGTTCAGTTCCAGCTGGGGTTGTTTGTATTTTTTCTTAGCAGCTGGATTTTTTTTTTTGAGGGGGGGGAGAGTTCACAGCAATACTCAAAGCTGTTCCTTTTATTTTGGTTGGTTCAATTTTAACTTCAAGGGTAAAATAGTTATTTAGGGGTCGTTTTCATGCTCTTTTCACAGTGTTTACTCTTACATTTACTTTGTCTTTTTTGTGCTTTTTACTCCATGTTTACTGTGTGTGTTCATTGATTGGTTGGTTTCGTCATTTCAGAACGGTTTCTTCATTCGGGCGAGATTTGGGGATTTCTCTATTAACTTGTTACTGCCCAAATAAGTCCCAGGTTTGCAGAATCAGTCCAGATGATGTAGTTTCTTTGTGTAATTTTGTCACATGAAATAATACTGGGCTTTTGAGTATTTGTAGTCAGCAAGCAGTTTGCAGCAGTTTTGTATTACATATCTTATTAAAAAGAATTTACAAAGGCAGATTATTGCAGACAAGTTATTATTTTAAAGGATCTATGCAGTGTTTTAAAATAAAATCCCCAAACATGCACATTTTATTGCATTTATCGCTATACATGTACATGCATGTGTTCTTTGACACTTTAAAGGTTATTTGAAGCATTTGGGGTATCATGCTCATGGAAAATCAGGGATCTGCCGCTGCCGGTCGGCGCCGGTCGGGCCCGACCGGCACGCAGAATTGCCGACCGCCACAATCTGCCAAATCAACTTTTCCGACCGGCACGTATTCCCGATAAGAACCCAAATAAAATAGCATCTTGGTCGAGGGATCA